TTTCTATTTTATTTACCTGGAATTGGTTGTGTACTAGTTGCTTCTTCTTCAAGTACTTTATGTAAAAGTAATTCTAGAACATGTGAAAAATGTGGAATGCTCTTGCATGTCTGAGCAATTTGTAATGCATCAAAATCCAGACTAAATATTTTAGGAAAATAGGTTTTTATTTAAAAATTAGATTAATCAGTTTAATTACTTTTTACGAATCAATTCTTGAAAGACATGATTAAGAAAGACTTGAGTCTATTTAGAAATAAACAGTCGAATTTATATTATGAAAAATAAATAATAATTACGGTTTTTGTAATTGAGCAAAATGATTTTGAATTAAAATTTTCAAATTCTGACATAGCACCAAGTATAACTGCTTCTTCAACAACAACAGCTAAACAAAATTTCAATATTTATAATAATAATTAAATTATAATTCATATTTTAGTTTTACCTAATGGATAAATAGTTAAACCAAATGTAAGCATAATACGATGAGATTGAAATATGGGTTCATCTACTTTACGATATAATGGTAGCCATACTTTCATTCCATGTAAACCACAACATAACCATAATGCATTTGATAAATATGGATTTGTTGAATTCTGATGAGATATTGTCCATATACTTTCAACCCATGCAGCAATCATAACTGGTGGTAAAAATGTAACTGATTGTGACGTATTTCTTTTAGATGCTTTTTGTAAAATTAATGATGAACCACCTCGTTCTTGTTGTAAAAGAAGAAGACGTCCACATACATTAAGAAGAATACTTTGAGGAGTATGATCATTTGATGAAGAAATATTTGCTTGCGGTAAACCTTTGTTGTATTTTTTAAAAGAAAAACATGAAAAATATAATAATGAGAAAAAAATGATTTATACCGGAATCCGTTCGCAGGGAAGTTAAACCAATAAATGGTACAAAGACAGCATGTGGAACATAAGATTCAACAGATATTTCATGTAATTTTACCATAGATGCCGTCGGAACTAAATTATATGAACATAAATAGAGAACAATATAATCTTATACTATGTAACAATTAGATTATTGAAAAATATTATATACGATTTCATAAATCTTAGAATATTGAATTCAAATCAATCTGTTTTTTTTGTATATAATTTTCTAGTATCATTCTTTTCCCTAGCTTACAATAAGTTAATAAATAATACATAGTAACATCATAAAATTTCAATATATGAACAAGAGAAATCTATGGAGACAATTTATTTTATTAATATTTTCTATTGAACTAGGTTGTTCAGTTCGTTCCTTTCGAATCGTATATGTTTATTTACTATGTACTATAAATAAATAATAAAGTGTCGCAATTAGATATTAGCGTGACTAAAAATGAGTCACGGCATATTAAGACATAACTATCGTATACACAAACGCAAAGAAGGATCTTTTAATTAATTTTTTTTTGATTGAAAATTGATTAGAATAGAAATATCTTTGACCGAATCTCTGTTAGATTATTTGACCTCTAGTCGTAGTAATTATGAAACACATTTTTGATCGACTTTTAAGATTCATATCCTAAGAAAACAATAAATGCGAAGATAAACTAATATTTGATATCAATACCACATTTTCACAATTAACAACTGTTCATAGAAGAATTAAATTTTGTTCGATCTTTTTTAGTAAATTGCTAGACGACTTCCGTCTTGAATATATTTTTATTCTTAATCAAGAAACCTTTTATTCAACAGCACTTTTCAAGTTTCTTCATCTCAAGATCGAACTCACATGCATCTTTTTAAATATTGCCTTGATAGAATTAATTGAATTTAGAGTGAGTGCTTCCAGTAAAATGCAAATCACAACAAAAATAATATGAAAAGTAATTTTTTATGTTTAATTTTAACGTTTTTGAATAATCTGCTATAAAAACGAACAAAATCAGTAAATGGATGATTTCGATTGACAAATAAACAAAGATTGGAATAATGTTAATCGATCTACCTAGAGGCAAATTATACTGCTTCAATTGACAGCACTTTTGTAACTTTCGGTTATACCGTTGACCTTTAATCTTAGTGAAAAAGTAAATATTCACGATTACCTCCCAAAGGCGAATATGATGTCGATGCTGAAGAATTCTTTTCGTAATTTTAATTTCATCTGAGTCTATTATAGCATTCTAATTTAGAATATTTGTATAGATTTTCTGTTTAGATTACTATTACTTTAACTAATAGTAATTATAGATGGATTTATCAGCGATGTTATCGCCTGAATGTCCTATAGCAGCTTAGATCTTAGAATTAGAAACTACAAAGCTATTTCGTGAAGAATCTTATTTACAGTCCAGGTATTTATAAATAATAGTTCTCAAAAATCACATAATCTATATCTCAGTAACATTTTATTTTAAAGCATATGTCAAAACATTACAACTCGTATTATCTCAAGCAAACTTTATTAAAGCTTGAATCATGTCAATCAATCATCGTATTTCTAATATAAATGTATTGTGTATTAGAATTGAAGGACATCTACCTTTATCTCATTATAACTCACCTGGTTTTCCTTCTTTTCTTTCTAATGCATATAACATAATGTGTAAATCATATCTAAATAAAAATTTATTTTGAAATTGATCAAACTTATTTGTAGTACTTACGAAAATACTATTAATGTATCTTCATAAATATTTAAACAAATAATCGGTGATTGTAGACGAGTAACATATGAAAATTGATTATCCAAATTAGTTAATCGTGAATAAAGACGTATCTAAATTTAATTCATATCATACATTTATACATGTATCTAATTCTTTTGAAAATAGTCAGTTACAAATATCCCAAGAAAAAATAGCAAAAAAATTATAAACATGCAAACTTGTTAGTTAAAAACTCAAAATAAATCTTTTAGATACATGCTAGCAGAAAAAAGAATCTCTTTTCTTCTCATTAGTCGCATTATGTATATTTTCTCTCGCTCTCTTACTTCGTATCTAGGTATGTGCTAAATGTATATACATATATATTTCATTGCATCAAATATATTTCACACAAATTTATTTTGTCTTACTTCATCTCGATTTTCACTTGTCGATGTGCAACCGCATACAATAAATTCTTGCCACCATAATAAACCACCCACAACTCGTATATCACGTTCCTAATTAGAAAAATTCATTCGAATAAATTTATTTTTCTATTTTTACTTGGCCAGCATTGCCAAATAATTTCCATTTACGTGTAAATAATGAAAAATGTACAAATCCATGTTGACCAGCAACAGCTAAATATTGACCCGTATTATCAATACAAGCAAACTAAAATTAAGAATCAATTATAAATCATAAAAAACCAATTATCAATATTCTTACTTTTATTGGCCAATTATTATGAATATATAATTGAGGTAATTGAATAACTTGCCAGCCAACATCACAACCAACAGATATTGATAAACCATTAATATTCCCATTTGTTGATTGTTGATTACCACTCAGATATAAATATACTTTATCTTCAGATTGTAATAACAAATGTTCAATGCTACCCTAAAATGATTAAACTAATCATTTTCGATAGAATAGATTTTATAAATTTATTAAAACCGAATGAGGATTGTTGATCACAGATGATTTTAAAAAGTTCAATAATATTAATTGACTACTATTTTCTTTTGCTACTTCGGTATCATCATCAGTAGGTGTTGAAACAGCAGTTGTAGTTAATTTTTCGGATGCAATCCAGAGAGTATATCCATCAGGACCCCATTCCTAAAATTGAATTAATTTCTTTTTTGATTGTATTTCACACACTTACAATAACACGTGAAAGACCATATGAATGCATAGGATTTCTAGTATAATAAATAAATTATATCTTTCTTTTAGAAGTAATATAAATGTAGATCCTTACAATGATTGATCCGATGAATAAGAACAATGAAGAAGTATACCAAATACTGTCCAAACAGCAAATGCACCATTTTGCCAAAGAGTACAAAGGACACGATAATCAGGACTCCATTTCATCGAACATAATGCACCCAAATTTTCCACTAAATCTATTCAATCACAAAATCGCATAACTTCTTCTATTTATATATTATATAAGTCTTGTATACCTGGAAAATTCTCTACTGATAATTGTATTTTAAAAGCTAATTGTAACGATGCTGTTAATTCATCAATATAATAAACTACACCTTGTCCACTAAATTTTAAATCATAAAAATTAATATAGAAAAGAAAATATTTACTTTAATGAACCAAATGCTAATAACTGATATATCGCATTCAATGCAACACAACAATGAGTTTTCCAAATTTTTTCATCATTGGTTGGTTGAATAACAATACATTGACATTGCTTTAAAAAAAAAATATTTATAAATTAAATTCAAAATTTTAGTTATCCTTTTCTTTATACCTGTGGTTCAAATTTCGATGTTTCACATATAATTAAGCCTGATGTACCATCACTAAATACAATTCCAATACCATTTAATAACGGTGAAAATTCAATATATTTTGCATAACGATCTGGTTTATGAATTTTAAAAACTTTAACATAAGAAATTAAATAAATTTGATTAATTATTAAAATAAACAAACCTCGATCAGAATTTAAAGAAATTGTATATGACATTGTACTCAAAGATAATGTTAAATGTTGATGCATTGATCCATCCCATGATATACGATATAAATATCCTGTATTATCAGCTACTAATAAATCCGGACCGAGATTTGTTATTCTAAATGAATCAAAAATTATTTCTTATCATTTATATTTAAATAGAAATGTACCCTTGAATGTCTGAACCAACATGTAAAGCACTGTCTTGAACGAGTTTAATTCGTACCATAGGAAATGTAAATTGTGCGTCGGTATTAATTCGAATAAGATATTCACTAGGAGAATAAGAGCAAATAAAATAATTAGATAATTTTGTTTTCTTAAAAACTTTACCAGGGATCTTCATCATTAGTTGAGCCAAAAAATGATGATTTTGGTTTATCAATTACAACTTTATAATATATTATATAACCTTTAGTTGTCTAAATAATAAAAAATTCAAGAATTAAATTGAAGATTAATATATTATTGAACATACAGTAACAGCAAGTTTTTGAGTATCATTTCGCCATTCAGCAAAAACATTTTGACCATGTACTGATATGGAGTTTTCTGAACGGCGAACAAGACCAACTAATGTTGTTGGCTAAAAATTTAGTATAAGAAAACAATTTCGATATTATTTTTTATTTACCTTTGTTAGCCATACACTTATAATAGTCGGTGTTAGTAGTACAAGTTTAAGACGATCACGAGTAGTTCGTATAAATATAATCTCATATGGTTCTTCTATGGGTAATGAAAAACTTCGAAACGAACCGATTGGAAAATACATAATCACTTCATCTAAATGAATTTATATTTCAAATGGAAAAGTAATGTATATTTTTTTTATATTGAAAAGCCATTTCAAAGTAATTAAGGCAACATATTGTGGTATGGATTTTGGGGAGAAAACAAATTTTTTTTTTCAACAAAAAAAGAACAACGCCATCTGATCAAACTGTTTTCATTTTTGATTGGTAAAAATATTAAATAATCTGAACGATTTTCAATGATTTATTAAGTTATATATTTTAGAAAATAGTTGTTATTCAATGTTTCGATTAGAGAAATTTTTTAATCTCAACTCGAAGACTTTTTATTTATTTTTATTATTCATAGATGTCACTATCAGGTTAGTAGAAATTCTATAGAATATATATATATTCAATTTATTTTTATGATCTACAATATATATCTTCAAAATTCAAATGAAGTTTTCATACATATAGGTTACATTGAAAAGTTTGCTATATGTTCTTCACTTATTACCTCAGCAGCATAAAAATGTTAAAGATCTATTGAAATAGTTAAGTATTCGAACGAGTCACACATTGTCTATAATAGACTATTTATTGATGACTATTGACATTCTATAGTTCTTATTATTAAGACTATAAGTAACTGATAAAAATACTCTATTTGCAATAGAACGATAAAAAGACAAAAAAAGAATAAAAACCAATATATATTCTTGTTCTATATATAATAATTATTGATTGATTTATTTCAATACTTAATGATCTATATGTTGTTGAATGCATTCTAAATTTTATTAAATTATTCAACACAATTTTCTTTCTTACACAATTACAAAACTGCAGAAAGTGATACGCATTGGAATGTATTATGAAAATTGTAATATGTAACGTATCGTTTTCAAAAAATAGTATTATGTTGCTTACGGAATGTACTAACTCACATAATAATAATCATTTTAGTTATCGATATTGAAAATAATTCATCTAAGATTTTTAATATGAAGTGATGAAAATATAATAAAGTTAAATCTAGATAGTGCTTATATGAAATTTTGACGGATCTAACATCTTGGATGTATAAGTCATGCAAGTAATTGTATATAAATACACAAAGTATTCTATATATATCTTTCATATTGTTTATGTGTCAAGGAAATATTTTCATTATCTTACTAATTGCTTTTACATCTGAACAATGTCTATCAGAAGTATGTCATCACTACAAATGGAAACAATATGAACTTATTATTTCCTCGAACTTTATTCATTTCGTTGATATTAACACGCATTTATTGAATCTGGTATACATGTGAATCTCTGAACGATAGATCGCGAATTTTTATCGTCGAAAGAGATAATTATCTATGTAAATGGTAAGAAGATTGCATACAATTAAATGAATGAACAAAAGAGACAGATTAAAACGATAGTCAATGAAATAATTTTTATTTATATTTCAACTTCTATTAGATTCAAGAAGTCCTTGATTCATTTTAAATTAGCTTGGAAATGAATCAACAGATGTCATTAGTATCTGATGATAATATAACAAACAAGAATTTTTATAACTAAGAAAATGTAACAAACTGAACAAAAAAAAGGATAAAAGATTAATCTAGAAAAAAAATAAAAAATGTTAAAGTGAATATAAATTCAATTTTTCATTGATTAACTTTGATCGAATCGTGATTAATACCGGTTTCTAATTGGATAGCAAATGAATCAACTATCGTACATTGGTTTAATCGTTTATTTACTATTTATATACTTCATTGAATAATGAATAATATGTTGGAAAGATTTATATTGATTTATTAGTTCCAAGTTCAATTTTAGTAGATATATTTACTAATTTATTGTATATTTCAGATGTCTGTTCGTTTTGCTGAACCCGAAATAATCGATGAAGGTGAAGAAGATGAAGAAACGGTAACTCGTTCATTCTATGATTTCGGTCTTGATAATCGTCTCTTAAAAGCAATAGCTGATTTACAATGGCCTGCACCAACACCTATTCAAGCTGAAACAATTCCATATGCATTATCTGGTAAAGATCTTCTTGTTAAAGCTCGTACTGGTAGTGGTAAAACTGGTGTTTATGCCATCGCAGCTATTCAACATCTATTATCAAAACAACAAACAACTACTTCAAATGTTCGTATATTAATTCTATCACCAACAAAAGAATTATGTCATCAAATATCATCTGTTTTTCTAAAATTAACAAGTTATTGTCGTCGTGAAATAAATCTATATGATTTATCAAATTCATTATCAACACAAATACAAAAACAATCATTAATATCAAATAGTAATTCATTACCTGAAATTATTATATCAACACCAACAAAATTATTAGAACATTTAAAAGATAGTACATCACCATTAAATTTAAATACATTAGAATTATTTATACTTGATGAAGCTGATATACTTTATTCACTTGGTTATGCAAATGATATGAAAAAAATATCGAAATATTTACCATCAAAATCGAAATCATATCAATGTTTTTTAATATCAGCAACACTTAATGATGATCTTCTTCAATTAAAACAATTATTTCTTCATAATCCAGTTAAAATTAATCAAAGTGATGATTATTCAACAATATTACCTGATAATAAACAATTATTACAATATTATATCTATTGTGAACTAGATCAAAAATTTGTTTTAGTTGTAACTATATTTAAATTACAATTATTAGTTGGTCGAACAATTTTATTTGTTAATTCAGTTGAACAAGCATATCGATTAAAATTATTAATGGAACAATTTCATATAAAAACGTGTTTATTAAATAGTGAATTACCTATGGATTCACGTTTACATATTGTTCAACAATATGTAAGAAATTTATTTTGGGTTTTTATTAAAGAATTTGAATTTTTTGTTTTGTAGAATGATGGATTATATGATGTAATGATTGCAACAGATGCACCTAATGTTGTACCAATTGAAGAAGGAGAAGTCGAAGGAGACGGAGAAAAAACAGTAGTTGAAGAAGAATCAAAGAAAAGTATGATTTTTCAGGAAATGATTTTTCGTAAATAAAAATTTGATCTATTATTAGAGAAAAAAAAGAAGAAAGAAGAGGTTAGTCGAAAAGGTGATAAAGAATATGGTGTATCACGTGGTATTGATTTCTATCGTGTTGCTAATATTATCAATTTTGATTTTCCGATGGATTTCGATTCATATGTTCATCGTGTTGGACGAACTGCTCGTGTCGATCAGAAAGGTAAGAAAAATATCAAGGACTAAGATATCACCATTCATAGAATCTAACCTTCTCTCGATATAGCCAAAAATATTATTCAGTAGTTTTTTTTACATTAGGTACACATCTAGAGGTTGACATAAGAAAAGAAAAAGAGTGACTTAATCGCTCTAAATATGAACTTGAAATGCGCATGCTTTTCCTTTCTTAGAGTAGTACTTCTTTATATATAAAAATAGGTATACCTCGACTCTCGAAAGATAGTCTGAATAAACATTGTTTTAGCAATGAATTTATCTTCATATAGGTTTGGCACTTTCATTAATATCTCAAAAAGAAATGCCGTATTTTGAAAATGTTCGTGCTGAACTTGAAAATGAATATGGTGAAGATATGTTTCATCTTTATCGTTTTAAATCTGAACAAGTTGATGGTTTCCGTTATCGTGCATTGGATGCATTACGTGGAATAACACGTATATCAATTCGTGAAGCACGTTTAAAAGAAATCAAATCGGAAATATTCAATTCAAAAAAATTAAAAACATATTTTAATGATAATAAAAAAGAATTACAATTACTTCGACATGATTCAGCATTACATATTGTTAAAGTTAAAGATCATTTAAAACATGTACCAGATTATCTTGTTCCAAATTCATTAAAAAAAACATCATCAACAACAACAACAACAACAACATCCGATCAACAATCATCAACAAATTATAAAAGAAAATCTGATACCATGCATACAAATGTAAAACGAATGAAACGAAATAATCCTTTGACAAATTCATTAAATGCTGTTACTGCTTTGAAAAAAGAAATAGCACGAAAAAAAACTTAAAATAAAAAAATAACAAGAAATTTGTCTTGTTTTTGTTATTTCTAGATAAAAATATTTTGATTGTTCGTTCAACTATTCGATTAATTGGAAAAGAAGAATATATCGACAATTGCTTGATCATATAGGTGTTTTTATTTATTATTTTGTAGATAAAATATCCGAATAAAAGAAATAATGACAACAACAATTGAAAATTTACATAACAACAAACGAAAATTTATTTCAGATAATGAGGTCTATCCTCATTCTAGCCGAATTCTCTCGATTGCTAATCAGGTACAAGTTGTTTCTATTCATTTTTTTAAACTATCGAAATTATAGTCAAATGTTTCTATCTGTGGATATTCTATTAAATCAATTCATGTGTGACTATATCCGGCATGCTATTCATGTTTTTTTCTTACTTCTACTTAATCCATTGCATATCAGACGATGAATTTGAAAACTATGAACTCTGGTTACTAATAGATTTAATTAAATCATGAAAAAAATTTATCATTTTTTCTATTTAGATAGAAACAAGTTGTAATCCAAAAAAAATCAAATCAGAACAAACATCAACATCAATTGTTGATGTTAATGATTCTGATGAGATGATGATATGTGAAAGTTTCACATCCAAAGAAAATGATACTAATAAAACAGATGATATAACAAATAAATCACAAAGTATGATTATTCCGAAACATTGCGATGGTATATGCAAGTATGTTTAATTTTGAATTAGATCAATAGAAGAATGTATATATTTTTTTTAGTGCTGATGGAAGTCCGACATCGTTAATAATTCGATGCTATTGTGATCCGTATCGATTAAATTCATTGATTCCATACAATTCGGATATTTATTAGAAAAAGAAAGACTAGGATAAATTTTTTTTTGTTTGTATTTACTCATGAATAGGTGTGTAATCTGTTTATAAAAATTTAAATAAAATTAATTTGTTGTTAGTTCAATATGTCGTTTTTTCGATGAAAATAATTTCATTTTTTCTTCTAATTTTCGTTTCAGATTAAATTTTACTATTGTGGTAAGAAAATATATGTTGCGTTTAATTATCGAGAAACTGTAAATCTAACCGATATAATGAACTAAATACTGATTTTTATCTTATTTAAACATTAGCAACATTACTTTTCAATTTAATTATAGACTTCGATTATTAACAGTTAAAATCTCTAGCGTGTATTATCCAGGATAAAAACCTGGTTCATGTCAATAAATAATTATATACTATTATCTGGTTATCATTTGTCTGAAATATTCCAAAGTACTTCTTTTTTCTTACTTTTTCTTACTATCATTACGTTCAATAAGATAAGAAATACATAGATAGAGCATATATTTATTCAGTTTTATATTATTTCTCTGTGACTCCATTGTTCAAATGTTGTCAGACATTAATTTATGTGCATAACATTCTAGCTGGATCACAATGACTTTGGCTTATATATTTATCAGCCATATTTACATAGTTTTGCCTTGATTTTCTAAGTAAATCGATCCGATAGGACTCAGATTAGGGATGTACCGAGCCTCAAGAGTTGTTAACAAAGACACGTTATTTTCTCTAGCAAAAACCCCCAAGACTCTACAAGAATTTAATCACAAACTACTCAGTCTGATCTCATTGTGTTATAGGTACCATTAGATAGATCAATTCAAAACAAAAAAGTCTAAGTCTCGGTTAAAAACTGAAAAAAAATGAGATTCTAGACCAAGACTTAGGCTTTTTTGTTTTGAATTGATCTATCTAATGGTACCTACAACACGATAAGATCAGACTGAGTAGTTTGTGATTAAATTCTTGAAGAGTCTTGGGGCTTTTTGCTAGAGAAAATAACGTGTCTTTGTTAACAACTCTTGAGGCTCGGTACATCCCTAACTCAGATCATACAATCCTTAGTTTAATATTATTATTTGTCATTAAAAATGACCAGCATAGATTAAAGTTCTGTTTAAGTGATTTTTTAACTATTCGTAACGCATTGATTTATTTTTCTTTCTTATTAATCTATAATTCTAATACTAATTTAAGATCAGAAGATATAACATATCAACACTGATCGTCACATTCCAAATGGCTGCTTGTGATATAGCGAAATATTTAGGAGCTGGTGTACTTATTATTGATACAAAAAGTTCATCTCTACTTCTTGTTAATGATTATACAGAAAATTATAATTGTTGTGGTGGTTATATCAAATATGATGTTAGTGATTCTCAGCGTATCGAAAAAACTGCTATGGAAGAATTATATGAAGAGACTCGCACCCTTTTCTCATGTGAGATTGATCGTCTAATAACTTGTCCATATGTTGATTTAAATTTTCATGATGATATATTTCGTTGTTATATACTCAAAATGGAATGTGATTCTGATATCTGTGAACAATTTGAGAAGTTTAATGTGGATAATTTACCTGCTGAGAATGATTATTTAGAGACAAGTTCTTTAATGCCATTTCCTTTAAAACAATTTAAAGGAAAAAAATCTTTACCGAGAATTGTTAGTACTTCTATGGCATCAGATAGTACTGGAAAAAAACTTCCACTTAATAAACGAGTTATTTCTGTGATTCAAGCGGCAGTTAAAAATAATTTATTGTAACATTTTCAAATGATATATTTTTAAATAATGGTTTTTTTTTAATATTTAAATCAAGAAATTTTATTTTAAGATAAATAAGAACCTTCAGCGAGAATGAGTAATATCGATCAACAAATTCAAGAAGTAAGACATTTCATCAAAAGTTTTATAATTTCTATTGAATATTTCTTCTAGATTACTTCTGATGTAGATGAAATCAAACAATTCATTAGTCAAGCAAATCGTTCTCGAGTAAAACAATTTCTTGAAGTTCAACAACGTCGATTTGAAACTGAATTAATAACACTTAGAGAAAAAAAGGAACAAACTAATGCAACAACCACAACAGAAAAAAAGCCAAGTACTACTGCATCATCAACAACAACTACAGCAACTCGATCCTATACAAAAGAAATATCACTTTATGGTAAAAAGAAAATACAGAAAATGATTATTTTTGCAAAATAATAATATCTCGTTTAGCTTGGGATCAATCTGATAAATTTGTGAAAATGTATATTCAAAATTTGGATGGTGTAGGTGATTTACCTTCGGAACAAATTCGTTGTTCATTTGAAAATCGGTAAATAACGAAATTAAATATTTGTAATTAATTCTGTTTATTTTTTTATTCTAGAGGATTTTCATTAGAAATTAATAATTTAAAAAATATTAATTATGTGTTCAAACGAGGACGACTTTTGAATGAAATAAAACCTGAACAATCATCATTTAAAGTAGAATATAAAACGATTAATAAATTAAATCTGAATATATTTGTTTTTAGGTTAAAAAAGATATGATCATTCTATCCTTAGCTAAAACAGAGTCAAAAAATTGGGAATGTGTATTTCGTGAAGAAACGAAAGCTCCTGAAAAGTAAGATTCTTTTTTTTTGTTGAGATTATTTTATAATTTTATGTATGAATAGACCATTACCAAAAATGGATGAAGGCAAAGACCCAGGTGATTCATTAATGCAACTTATGAAGAATATGTATGAAACTGGTGATGATGAAATGAAACGTACTATTGCTAAAGCTTGGACTGAATCACGTGAAAAAATGAATACTGGTGGTGGCGGTGGCGGTGATGATTTAGGAATGCCAGGATTTTAATGAATCGAACAAAAATAAGAGACATTTACATTTCGAGATATTGTGATGTTTTCTTTCTTTTTTCTTTAAGTTTACATTTTTATGATATTAGTTTGTTTTCTAGATTATGATCTTTTTTTTATTAGAAAAATAGAAACAATCTCTTAAAACAAATGGCTACAGCAGGATATACTCGTCCACAAACTTATGTAAATTATTTAAATGATAAAAATTCATAAGTATTGAATAACCAACTATTTCTTTCTATTTTAGTCATCTATTCGAGATGATGATGATGATGCACTCGATATTCAAATCGATTCGTAAATAAATATTTTTATTCATCATAACTTTATATTTTGTAAATTTTTGAATTAGTGATACAACACGATCAACTGCTGGTGAAGGTGTAAAAAAGTAAAAATATATTCTTAAAATTTATTCGAATTATTAATTTTATTAATATGATTAGACTTCATGGTCAAGTACAAGAAGTTGTTGGTGTTATGAAAAAAAATATTGATAGATTATTAGATCGTGATGTTGCATTAAATAATTTAATGACACGTGCTGATGATCTTGAAACATCAGCTTCGACATATAATCAAACAACGAAAACATTACGTCGAAAATATTGGTGGAAGAATGCAAAAGTATAGCTAATTTTTATACATCGATTATCAATGGTTTTTCTTCTTCTTCTCTTTAGACAAATGTGTGCATTGCTGGAATTGTCGTTGCAGTTATTTTTATTATTATTAGTAAGTTAATTCAATAATGTATTGATTTATCTTATAAAATATATTTTTTTAGTAATAATTGCATTTAATCGCCTTGGAAAGAAATAAATCTAATATTCATTAATCTCATCTACTATTTGGGTCAGATGTCCATAGTCAACAAATTGAATGGTCATCCTTATCTATATATATATACGTGTGCTTGTTTCAATTCTCATTTTTTTTGTCGTAGTTGTTTGTCTGTATTTATTAACTATGAATCTCAATAACATTTTCTCATATTGTATATTTCATTTCAATAAAAACAAGCAAACTTATTTAATGTGCGATACATATGGGGTCTTTCATCATTGAAGAAGTAGGTGTGAAAAGTATGTTTTTTCTTCTTTGCGACAGGTAAGAAGGCATCTGTCAAGCATTGCATTGATTGATTGACTGACTGATTATTTGAAATAAGAAAAGTTCCTTTTTGTTAGCGTAAATGAGGTTCTAATTTGAGTTTTGTCACCACCTAGTGTTTGTGAAGAGCTTTTCTCACACACACATATGTACAAATTTAATATATAATATATATATATAGACAGACAAATTGAACAATTAGCGCATCCTGCAGTGGAAAATGATGATGATGATGATGATCATCTTCCTTCTAGCTATCGATAAACGATGACATTCCACTCCTTTCTTGAATAGATGATATATAAGTAGACAATTGAAAAATTGATTACATAGAATATAAGACATATATATATGTAGAATGTAGTCAAGGATGACATCAGACTTCGTGTATTCTTCTCTTGTTGTATGGCAATGTTCAGTAATTGAACGGCCGACTATATAGACGTGGCACCCCTGCTAGGATTAGTTCGAAGAACAATAGACTATATGTATATATACGAAAATCAATAGGTGCGAAGAGAGAGAGAGAACATTCTCTTTAGGAGGTCTCTTGCTACCGATAAGAAGAAAGTTTTATTTCAATATTCGATTGTATGTTTGATCCGTCCGCATCGAATAAAATAGAAATCGAATAGAAGAAAAAAAGTAATTATTAATGTGAGATGGATGTGTTGTATTCAACTCATTCAATTGGAATGAAAAAAAAACATAAGAATAACGAACAAAACAATATGTTGTTGTCGTCGTTTGTGTGTATGCGTGATTTAGGGTGGAGACATTCAATGTTAAGCTCATCATGTTATTAGTGTGTTGATTTAGATGAACGAACGTCTTAATGTTAAATGAACCAATTGATAATCATTCCCACTTATACATATATGTATATACATGAAATTAAATAATTATAACTAGATTCAAATGCTTTTGTTTTCTAATATTGTAAAACTTTCTGTGTAATAACAAGCAAAAAATACGTGTCTTGAAATGAAAGCAAACGAACAAAAAAAGAAAAAAAAGTTCAAGCAATGCGATACACACACACTCACACGCACGCACACACAAATACATAGAATATTTATAAGAATTTAGTCAAAAATTAAGTCCTGTTTGTCGATGATAATAATGTTGTTGTAAAGCAGCAGCATGATGAGGATGATAAACGTGTGGATGATGATATGCACTCATTGTATGCATATGTAATGGCCAATCTGTTGATGTTGCTGGTGGTCCCGTTGGTGGTTGAGGATGATGCATACGTGCCAAAGCAGCTTTCATTGGTGCAAGATTTTCAAATGATGGCGGTGATTCAGAACAACTATCTGTTGCAGTTGTATTCATTGATGAATGATTTGATTGTAGTAATTGATGTTGCTGTTGTTGCTGTTGCTGTTGTTGAAGATGAAGATGTGTATTCATACTGTCTCGAGATGAACGACGACGTCGTTGGGAATTATGATGCATTCTTGATGATGGTGATGGTGATCGTTCATTTTCACCTGCACGTCGATGCAGATTATTTCGTTTCATACAAGAATCATTTGCTGATCCCGACGAAGAATTTGTTGCTGCTGATGATGTAGAATCTTGTCCTTGTGATTCATGCATTTTCATATGTTTACGTAAAGCTAAGAAGAAAAAAGAATGAAAATTAATATTTTTTATTAAAGAAAAAGTAATTATTATTATTAAATTTTCTTACATGATGGATGAGTATATGTTTTATCACATCCACTAACTCGACAATTATATGGTTTATCTGCTGTATGAACATGTTGATGTTTTTTTCGATCAGAACTATTTGCAAAACTTCGTTCACAAAAGTTACATGCAAATGGTCGTTCTCTAAATTGAAATAAAACATTTTTTTCATAGATATAAAAAATTTACGAGAAATTTTTAACTTACCCAGTATGCGTTCTTTTATGAATTTTAAGATTTTCTGAACGTGCAAATACTTTTCCGCAACGTGCAAATGGACAAGCAAATGGTTTTTCACCGGTATGCACACGAATATGATTGACCAATTTATATTTAGCTTTAAATGCACGACCATGTCTTGGACAATCAAGCCATAAACATGTGTGTGCTGATTGTTCAGGTCCGCCCACATGTTCAACAGTAAGATGAGTGACTAGAAGAAGAAGAAGTAAATCGAAGGACAAAATGCCATGATTATTATGTCTTTACTAATAAGCTTCATTTATATAGTGAACAGAACATATATATACACATATACATACACACATTTTTGTCATCTGTTTAACCTCATCATTATTTCAGTAGCACAACGGGAGACTCATTTCCGACGTTTTTTTCTTCTTTCTTTCTTTCTTTCTTTTTTTCTTTTCATTAAAACTACTATGATTGGATGTATATATTTAACTTACCAATGTCTTGCATGTAAGCAAATGCACGATTACATATTCGATGTGTATCAGGATCAATCCATTTACATACATAAGTATCATTTTTACCATTTGAAATATTTGTAACATTACATGTTGTACTAAGTCCTTGTCGATATGAAGGATGAAAATATGGTAAAAATGCTGTTTGTGTTGCTGGATCAATATGTGAACCAGCCGTAACATAGCGTGAATAATATTGTGTATTAGCATACTGTTCTGGATCGAACATAGGATATGTCCTGTTTATTAAATGAATAGATATATGAAAATAGATATAAAATTAAATTTAGAACTTACATAAAACTTGAAGCTGCTAATGGATCTTGTGTAGTTGAAAATGGTGGTGATGTACCAGGATAAGATGAAAAATCTGCTCGACGTTGTTGTTGATCATCGATTGAATTTAATGATGTTGAACCGGGTACATTAAATATTGAAGATGATGATGGAGTTGATGTTAATGGTCGATATGTAACTGGTGCATAGGGACTTGGATATGATGATGTTGTTGTATTATTTGTACTTTCACCAGCACCACCATTACGATCAGCAGATGGACTTGTTGGATCAAACATTGATATACTATAAAACTATTTAAAAAAAAAATCAAAAATAAATAAATTTAATAATTATTCTCATGCCGTGAACTACTTACTGTGCGATTTGTCGTTTTTTTGTTGTCAACAAACTCGATAGGGGTTGGCACTTGTCGGTTTTTTTGCGATGCTCCACAGGATTGAGAACTTGAAGGGAGAGGTGTGCGTCGTACGGTGCCTATAAGCTCACCAGGATCTAGCTATTGATACTGCAATAATGACTCCAGTAGGCAACCTATCAAGCACAGACACATACACAGCAGTGTAGGATTTTTTTTGTCGTTGTTGTCAAGCGAGAGAAAAAAAGAGAGAAAACGAGAGAGAGAAGAAGAGAAATTAAATCTACCAATAAGAAAAAAGAGAGAGAATATATTGTAATCTTTCTTTCTTTTTCTTTTTTTGTTTATTTGTTCTCTCTTGAATATCTGTTTTGTATTATACTGAGACTATGAAAAAGAACTCCCGAGGTGTAGATCAACCATTCGGAGTATTGAAGAAAGTATATATGTATTACTTCTAACGAGCAGAGAAAGATACGAAAAAGGAAATGCCTGTGTCATCTCCAACCGTGCAAATTTTTCCTATATAGAAAAAAAAAGATCGTTATAGAAGGGCAAGAGAAGTAACTACAGGATACTGATTGGAGAATTCATGCTGTGTTGTTCTTCGGTTTTTTTTTGCTACTGATTTCACCAATAGAAAATTTTTTTTTCGATATGAACGAATCAACCAATAGAAAAAAGAAACGCATTATCCTCTTGAAATTTTTGCATACGTTCCTAAAATACTTTTTTTTCTTTCATACTCATATATTTAGTTATTCAACATAATTTAAACAGAATATATAATATTATAAAACAAAACAACAGAGTAAAAACTTTTATAGTTGATTTATATCAATTGAAAAATAGACATGCTTGAAATTGTTCCAAGCTGACATCATTATATAAAATAATAATTTTTTCTTCTTTATCAACATTTTCTCGTTAGTGACTTCATGTGTATTTCCCAATTGTCCACTTGTTGGTCATGAACATTCATGTCTATCGAATTGAATTGTTTGATGTTATTGCATCGTCTACCTTGATCTCAAATTTTAACGATGATCTCTTCTCGTTGTTTGATCATAATCGATGAGCCGGAAAAGTTGAACAAGGAACGATTACACCTTTATTTTGTTACGTTCATCATCTAGTAGTGAGTGAGTTCATTTTTATATTTGATGCTGCACATAGACAAACGAATTCGATCTGTTCCGCCCCAGATGTTTTAGATGACAATTCGAAAAATGAACAAATTAAATCCATGCTGAGAATAATCGATCGAATTGCGTTGAATTACGAGCTAAAAAATTTCTCCTGTCCCATCTTCTTTATTTGAAACATGTGGTGATAACAGACATTTCTCTAATTTCATTCGATTCAAAAAACGATATATCTCTCACTGTATTCGAGACAATTTTGTTCTCTATTACATCACATTAATAATAATTTATCGTATATTTTTCAACCAATTGTCAATTGTACACATACTTATCAAGTGGTATTCAATGTTCATCAAAAGAATAATGGATCTATCTAACTTTTTATCAAATCATGTCGTGCACTTTACAAAAAAAATATAGATAACGAAATGTTAACCATCATGATGGTGATCATCATCATCATATGCATAAGCAAGTGTATATATGTATATTGTTTTAGTTATCCATTGGGATATAAAAGACGTAATATCATCTTATTTTATTTTCATTTCAAGATTCAAAACAGATTTTTTTAATTCATTCGATCATTCAGAAGAATAAATATTGTTCATCTTGTTTGGAATCGAACTTTCTAAAATAAACATAACCCGCCCACATATTTTCCTCAACACTAACATATAATTGCTTGAACGAGACGATCATCGTTTCGTGTATATATGATAGATAGTGATAGTAGGGGGTGTTAAAAGAAAACAGAAAACTGTCTGACTAAAATATAAACGGAGACATTATCATCATTATCATCTTCGTAGTCTCTTTCTTCATTCTATCATCAACACATTTTTAAATCTTGTCCATCAGACAATACCACTATCACATTCTTTTTCTATCTTAACAAGACATCTTTTTCACACTATTAGATGAAATAAAGTGAGAATGGCATCGACAGACAATGAATACATTTTGTCTTAAACATTCCATCGTTATTCAAAAAACTTTACTATAAGAACAGGTATCACATCATAAAAAGAAACGCATCTGTTATTTTTTCATATAAATTTGTTCTGCATTATAAAATATACTAGACCTACTGTGCGTATAGATAGCACTGAAATAGAAAATAAGTGGCACGATGTGAACAAACACTTCTTTGCAGAAAATCTACTGCTGTCTGTCAGATCAAAGACAATATATACACACTAACTATCGTTTATGAGAAAAAAGAAACTTATCATGACAAAAAAAAAACATAGCAAATGAGAGAGAGAGAGAAAGGAGCAAAGTGGTCTTTTTTTGACACCTTCTTCTTTGAAAAGAAAGAAAACTAATAAAAACGGCTTCACCCATCACCCAAGTGTCAATGATGCCGCAATAATGTGTATGTAATAATAAGGGATAATCATTCATTCTTCTCTTTTTTCCTTGTGATAATGATCGATGCCGCTCGTTAGACATCAAGATCGCAGAATGATATTTCGATAATGTATAAGAACGAATTGAAAAATCTCTAAAAAATACCTTTCATACATTGAATCAAATGAAACAAAGTTCATGATTTCTTCACACCTTTCTCTTTTTTTCTTGTTTCGTTTGATCATTCAAGTGGCAGAATACAATCATGATTATATTTTAATAAAGTACAATCAAAACTAATTTATTATTAAAATTGATAGACATATTGGTTCTTCTTTTTTAACTAAGATTAGTGACAAGGTGATGAGTCGTTTTCACCTTTTTTTATTTAAGTGTGAAATATAGATGTAATTTTAAAGATCACACATTTATAGATGTTCATTAGATGATGATTCAGTTTCTTCTCTATTTTTAACGGTTGAAATAGGAGAAGAAATAGAGACAAAAGAGTGCAAAACCAGCATGAATCTTATGTAATCGATTAACATACTCTTGTTATTACTTTTTTCTCATTCGTTCCTATCTCTCTCTCTCTCTTTGTATATTTTTACTTATTGGTAAGTTCGTTACTTTGCACTCTTGGAAGTATGTATGTCAGATAGAAAAAGATGAGAAAAATAACAACAACTACTACTGAGCAAGTAAAAAGTCTATCAATCGTAAAAAGAAAGAAAGAAATGTCAGTCCGACAAAAGTAGTCAGCAGGGTGAATAAAAAATATCCCAATTTAGTTTGTCTACGCGCACTATTGATATTCATAATTAGCTCTCTAAGAGATGAGGGAACAGCTGAACATGTGTTATTCCCTCTCTCTCTCTCGATTTATTAATAACAAAAGAAAATCTTGTGTCACTAACAATTGTTTTTAAAAGTTTTCTTTTCTTAATCCTTTTCAATCGTATCATATAATCGATGTGAGTGTATTTATATCTTGTTCATCAGTAGGGAGTCATATACAAACTATCCACTTTTCTCTTGATACGAATAATAAGTTTGTTTAGCTTATATTTCTCAATTCTGCTTGATTTATAATTAAATGACTGAAAGAAAAAAAATTTCACATTCGAGGAAATGATGACACGTACTGTGTTTTTGTTCGCTCATCACCGGAAGACGTTTCCTACCTCGAATATATTCATATTCAAGAAGTAAAAAAGAACTCCACACGAGTTCAAAAAGACAGGAAATGTGCTGCACACGGCATGAATATAAGAAAAAGAAGAAGAAAGTTAATCAAGTCTTGTCTATGATTTATAATCATAAGTTTTATTCAAAATTTCATCTAATCGTTTGCGTTCACTTGATGTTAAAATATCTATAGGCGATGTTTGAAGAAGATGATGATTATATTGCCATTGATCTGGATTGAGTAATGCTTCTAAATAAATCGCTTCAAGAGCTGATGGCTGTGCAGCAATTACATGTTTCATATATTCAACTTGTTTGTCTACTAAAGATTTTTCCTGATTATGTTGTAATTGAGATTCATTTGATTTCTATACAAAAAAAACAACATTAAAAACAACTTTTTAGTTTCAATATATAATAAATTTACTAGTTTTTGTTCGATTAAATCATTGAGAAGAATATACTGATTATTATTATTATCGAAACGTTGTTTAGCTAATTGAAGAAAATCATCAATTTTAAATTCTGTTATATTCATTTCAGTTTTATTATCAATATGAATTGTATGTAAATAATCTGGTAAATCTTTTTCGATAGTTCTTGCATATGTTTTCATATCTTTAATACAATCTAACATTTCACTCAATTTACAAACTGACATCGCTCGTTGCAGTGTTTTAGCTGTACCAATAAGTTCAATCGAATCTTCATTATTATGATTATTATTATGTAAAGTTTGTTTGGATATCGCAGTTGTGTCTAATGATTGGTGATGCATATGAAATAATTTTAATACAACGAAAGCGCCAATAAAATAATTTCTAATAGATGAAACATTCAACTGTGTTGTTATTTTTTGTCATGATCTATGATACACGTGTATCTCATTCCAGAGATAAAATGATAAAGATCGATAAATTTTATATGCAACACAATTATTCAGTCCTTTGGGCTATGTATATATAAAATGATATGCTAGAACATTATCGAAAAGAGAATCAATATAATAAATTATTTCTATGATTTATGAAATGTACAAGCAATTTTAGCTTTTAGTTAAATCTATCTGATGCTTACGAAATGAACGTTAGCTTTTTAGAAAATATTTTTCAATCGAATGATTAATAATTTTATACTTAATTTAAAATTATTGTAATATCGTCAATCTAATGCCCTCTATTCTTGATTTTATTACTAAAAAGAACAAATGATTATGTAAGAAAGAAAGAAAAAGATTTTTATATTACCTTCACAACATTCATCATAATGGCAACAAAAGCTATATGTCCTGATTGTGATAAACAAGAAGGTATTGTACCTTGTGTTGGATGTAAAAAGATTTTTTGTGTTAAACATTTTCAAGTTCATCGTCAAAATCTTTCAGTTGAACTTGAAAATGTTGTGACTCGACGTAATACATTACAAGAATATTATTATAATACAATTGCACCAACGATTGATCCAACAAAATTTGATGCTTGGACTAAAATTGATGAATGGGAACAAGAATTAAAAGAACAACTACGAAAAACTGCTGATGATGCTAGAAAACAACTTGATATATATTCTAAACAATCACGTACTCAAATTGAGTCTCAATTAAATCAAATAACTGATAATATTCAACAAAAAATGGAACGAGAAAATTTTATAGAAGAAGATATTGAGAAATTAACTCATCATATCGATGAAATTGAAGAAGGTATTGAAAATAAGAAATATTATCCACGTATTGAAATTATTTCTCAACCAATTGATTGGAAATCATCAATACAAGTAAAACTTTTAGTAGAAAATGAACCGAAAATTGAAAAACCAGAAGAACCATCGACTCCATCATCTGTTACATCAATTGTTACAACGAAACCAAAATATCCACCATCAATTCAACGAAAATGTGATACCTGTGGAACAGATACATGGCAAAAAGAATGTAAATGTTGTGGTCATACATATTGTGGTTGGCATTTAAAACGACATAATCTTGATCCAAAAAACATTAAAAAATAATTATAGATTTATTTGTTGTTTATATAATTATTTATAACGTAAAAAAATAGTTATAGTTTATTTCTTAAAATAATTAAACGAATTATTTATTGATAGAAGTATCAATGATAAACTACATGTTTTTTCAAGAATTTAATCGTTTGAAAATATTTGCTTTTATTTTGATCGTTATATCGCTCTACAGAACAACGTTTGTGATCAATGACATCGATTCAAAATCATATTACAAACGTGCTGTGATGGCCGAGTGGTTAAGGCGTCTGACTTGAATCATAGAAACTTATGTCAAGCTATCAGATGGGTTCTCCCGCGTAGGTTCGAATCCTACTCGCAGCGTTTCTTTTTTTTCCAATTACACTCACGTTTTTTTCTTTTATTCTCCTATTAATAAAAAATATTATTACCATTCATTTTTACACTAATGCACAATAGTAATTTAATACAATAAAAATAAAATTATTAAATAAATTTTATAGTTTTTTGTAATATTAAATGTGTAGAATTATTATTTTTCTTTAAAAATAAATCAATCATAACAATTATTATCAAAGATTATTGAATAAATCATGAAACAAAATTATCTTTTTTCAGTCGATATGATTCTTATCATAAATGAATTTACTTTTGCAGTCGAAATAATTATATTAATTTTATACTATACAAACAGATCTATTTTATTACTTAAATACTTTCTTTATTAAATAAGTTTATATGTTACAGATTTTATTGAAAACAAAAACTTTGATATTAATTGAATATGATGTTATTTTCTATAAATGAATATTGCCTTCTAGTGATTGTTATAAATCGAAATGATTAACGTGCTGTGATGGCCGAGTGGTTAAGGCGTCTGACTTGAATCATAAAGTATCATGACAAGCTATCAGATGGGTTCTCCCGCGTAGGTTCGAATCCTACTCGCAGCGTTTCTTTTTTATATTTACTTTTTTTTCCCATTCTATCATCACTAACTGTCAGTTTCCACTTAGTCTTCAGTTTTAATAAATCATTTTTTTATTACACAGGTTTTATGTTAAAAAATGGAAAAAATATTTATATTGTGTATTATATTTTATAATTAAAATCGTATATATATGATAATCATAATTAGACTTGCAGTAGTTCAAAAATTATAACTATTACATATGAGGAAACAGACATAGAATGCAATCAGTAGTAACAATATAATCAAGGACAAGTTCCATTGGAGACCTCATTGTTTTTCTTAGTAACAAACAGCACGATATTGACAGGCAATGACATTGAAACTGAGTCCGATAGATCAATTAACTAATCGTTCTATATGCAAACATAGCATAAAGAGTATTGGTTTAATATAACTACATGTTTTTATTGTATTTTCTCTCTCTCTGTCTCTTATATAATAATATGTATCAAATGAAAAGTATTTCGCTTCTATGAATCAGATAACAGCAATTATTAGACAAATAATAATAATAGTATATTATTAACTGTAACAAAAGAGAAAGAATACAATAAGAGGTTGAAACAAACCTTAGCAAATAGATAATTTATAGAAGAATAATTCTTTTGATGGTTATATCAAGTGAAATATTAATCGTTATGTCATTCCGAATAAATGAGAGTACATGTTCGAAGTGTTTATTCATGTAAAATAATTATTCTTTTATTGAAAAAATTTATTATATAAACCTACATTGTAATCAATTTTGAAATATTCAAGGTAGTCGTCAAACAAATGTATACTATTAACATTTTAATGTCGTTTTTTGTTTCTTCATATTACTGAAATTCTAATAGAGAAAAATATATTACATCTATTTCTAAAGAAAGCATATTGATTTCTGTCATGAATGTCAAGGAATATATAGTCCAGGCATCTACATATCTGTAATCAAAGTCTGTCAAATAAACTATAAAACTATTATTAGTATTATGTATTCTTATACAACTAGATCATTTCGATGAATGAAATATTCTAGGGTTTTTATCTATTGATAAATATTATTTATCGAAAATGTTTTTTGTTCCATCGATTCATTCTTTGAGAAAAACAGATCAATAATAACAAGAAAAATACAGTGTATTTATTTTATTTTTATGCACAAAACATCTCAGTCGTTTTTAGCGTAGATTGAGATGATAATGATGTATAAGCAACGATCGGTGATCTGTCTATATGTTTTCGTCGACGATGTGGTTTATCTAATGTATTTGTTTGTGTACCAACTGTAATATGACAAGAACTACAATTATCTATTGATAGTCTTTTATCATCATTTATCAATTCTTGTTGATCATATTTTGGTAATAATTCTGTTGTAAGTCGTGATGATGAAGAAAAAACTCCATCTCCTCCTGCAGTTGACATTCTTGCTATTGGATTTAATTGTGTAAAATGTGAAACACATGATCCTATATAATCATTTTGTCGATATTTTGTATTTAGATTATTTGTAAAATTTCCTGTTGCACGTCGATGACGTAAACTTTCATTATGTTGATAGATATGTCGTTTCGAATAACGACAACAAAGTAAATCAATAAATGATGAACGAAAATTTTTTGACATAAAACCATATAGAATTGGATTTGTACACTAAATAGAATAATAATAATATAAAATTTTGTTTAAAAAATAATTTACATACAGAATTAAGATAAGCAAAAACATTAGCAAATGTTGTTAAAATATCCATATAAGTAGCAAAATCATGACTTGTATTTCTTGAAAGAACAATATTCGAAATAAATGATAACTGCATTAAAAACCAACAGAAAGCATAGGTTAAAACAACAGCTAAAATCATACGTGTAGCACGTCGTTTACTTTTCCCAACTGATTGACCACGTGCTCCACGTAAGAATTTTAGCATTAATCCATAGAGAATGACAATAATTGTCAACGGAAGTGCGTAAAGAAATATAACAAAACCAAGCCAATAAAGACTTGCTTCAATCGGTAAAACTTGATTTAGAGAATTTAAAGAATTATCATCGGTATGATTTATTATTGAAATAGAATTTGAAGAATTCATTACTGGAAACTGTGTAGTATGTATTACCTCCGGTATATGATCAGAATCTAATTGTAAATAACGTAGAAGACAATGCATTGATACAGGTGATCCATCACCACCGAATTTAATCACAGTAAATAATGAACCAATAATCAATGATAATACAACACCCATTAACCAAAGAGCTCTGTAGGAATAATTAAAAAAAAAAGAAGTAGGTTATAATACATAAATTATGAACTAACAAAAGTTTTTCATTCGCTCACGAGGAGTAATTCTCTTTCTTTTAATGTAATCCTTACTAAGATTAATCCTAATTCAGAACTATTCATTCTTTTTTAATTTATGGAGAAAAAAAATCAGAATTTCTTTTGATTGTTCTAGTAATAATCAAGTACTTCAGGGAAAACAGCAAAATAAATGTCATACATAATACAAATAGTCGTATTTTTTGTTGTTCGGTAATTCCCAATTGAATCAATAGCATGAACAACAGCAAGATAACGATCAATTGACATGAATACAAGCAAATAAATGCTCATAAAAGCAGATAAATGATTGATGAATTGTGCTATAATAATAGACAACAATTAAATATTAAACAAAAACAAAACAATTATTTGCAAATCTATGTCAGAAGAATAGTTTTTTGTTTTCACTTATTTACCTAATTTACAACCAAATTCTGCAAAAGGCCAACGGCCAAAGAAACTAAATAGAGTTGTTGGTATACAAACAATAATGAATAGAATATCGGCAAGTGCTAAATTAAATATTAATAAATTTGTTGGAGTTTGCATGCCTTTATTAAGTCCAATGCCAATAAGTACCAGTGAATTACCAATAAGACCAAGTACAAAAAATGTACTGAATAAACATATTTTAAGAATACCTAATTTAAGTTCATCTTCAACGGCAACATCTCGATTAGATACTGTTGATGTTATTGTACCATTGAAAGTTTCATGTATATTGAATTCCATCTGATTTAGTGGAATAATAATACAGTCAAGTTATCTCTATAGACATAGGTAAGAATATAAAATAGAAAAAGGCGATAATGATCTAAAACAAAAAAGTTTTTATATGATGATATTATCTATTAGACTAGTTTCTACAGTAATTATCATATGACAAATAGAGATTTATCTAAAAATACTTAATCTGCTGAAAGAGTGGAAGAAAAAGAATATATATTTTGTTCGTGAAAAAAACACATGATCATCAGTTGCAGCTAGAGCAACGATTCCAATCCCATTAGTAGACTGAGTAGTAGGATTGCAATAGTCTTACTGTTTAGTTGACAAAGACATAGTAGAGACGGCTCTGTTGAAAGAAAAAGTACCCAGAAAAAAAACGAGATACCCATATAAGAAAGACAAAAAAGAGGCGGCTTATTGTCTGTTCTATAATACATAGAATAGATTTGAATATCTTTACAAATAGATTCTCATAAGATTATCTTATAATCTGATATATACCTGATGTGAATACTGTATATATATAAATAGATAGACAGATAGATAGATAGATAGATATGAAAGTATCAGTCGACTAAATGTCATCTGGACATAGTGAATCTATATTTATCATTAGTTGTAATCAAACAAAGGAGGAAGAAACATCAAATAGAAAGAAAAAGGAGTAATTAGGTTTCTTCGAGTTTATTTTAATGTATGGGGATAGTCAGTTTTAATCACGGAAAAGATGGATGAGTAGATAAATCTTTTTTTTTTCTTTCTATTTTTGTTATCTTACTTTATTCTAATCAAGCATAAACTCGTGTTTGATTCTTCATTATTATACTCGTTTAATCTATAGAGAAGTTTTTTTCAAAATACTTACTCAAGTAAAAATATGAAAAATAAAAAGATAATATAGACGAACATTTACTAATCGATTATTTTTAATCGTATGATGATAGCGAATATAAAGATTCTGATAGAAAAAAAAAGAGTTCTTTATATAAATGCTTAATGTATTTTCTCATTAAATACAATAGACTTTCAATTATCTTCCAATGTCAACGAATAAAATTTAGGACAGATATATACTTACTAAGATAAGATGGTGGATAGAAGAATAATTTGTAATCAAGAAGTTTATCAGAGAACAGGTAAAGAATATCTGCTAATGTTTTATTTGTTCTTCTACTAATGTATCTAGATGCTAATCGATATGACTCGACATTATCAAGTTGAATAATGGTAGGAACAGAACTGATACATTATACCATTCAACCATTTCTCTCTAACTTCTCTATATTTATCATTCAATGATTATGTTTATATCTATTTGGACATATTGCTTGTACATTTATTCATGTATACATACGTCACTCATGCCAAAAATTACTATTCTTACTTACTCGGGTACTTCTCACTCGTCACTGATCGCTTAGCCAATTGTTCAAATGGCGGACAGCTGCTCTTTTCCTCTGACACAATGATGATATAAATCCATTTTTTTTCTCTCCCTATTGGTCTTATTCGTTTTAACACGCGATATGCTAGGACAACAATAATGATGCTTCACATTACTCAAAATTTCCCTTTGATAATGTGGAACGATTGTAAGAGAACTATAAGAGCATATTTCTGTTATTTAGAGACAAACTAATGAAATGAAAATAGACAGTATGCTTGAAGATAGAAGATAGAAAGACGAGAAGAAGAAGAAGAAGAAGAAGAAGAAGAAGAAGAACTGCATACATAATATGTCATTATGGTTGGATAAAATTTTGATAGCCTAGATTCTGTAAGATAGATACCTTCTTTTATTCATTTTGTCATTTAACAATTATATATATATAAATATGTATATCTATATCTATAATGTTTTTGAATGATTGTCTGTTTATCATTATAGACATATAGAAGGTGACATACAAGTACCGAAAACAAAAATGTAGAGCATAGAATAATTTAATATATATATATATGTTGTGCCTGTAGTTTCTTTTTTCTTGTGGGCAATGACAATGTTAGTTAGGCGAACATTGTCTTTTTTAATAGTAGACATAGCTTATACAAGCAAATCAATGTAAAACTAATAGTTTTGATGATGATGGGTTTTCTTATTCTTATTTATATGATTATAGATAAGTACATGTTTTTGCCTATTGTTAGCATGACTTAAATTAATCATTGAAGATAAGTAAAGACTCATGTAGCAGAAAAATAATGATACTTGTATACTATTCGAGTAGTCTAATCAAATGAAACTGTTTATATCTATGTGTTTATTTCTTTTTTTTTCCTTCTTATCAAAGATATATACAAATGATCAAACTAAAATAATGTCAATGTCAATACTTCAGATATTCTCTTTGTCAAATGTCGACAAACATCCTTATCAAGATCTTTTTTTAATCTAGTAGATATATAATATATCTGTACAAGTACACAAAAATGAAAAAAAAGAAAGAAAATGACTCTATTTCTTTTGGAAGAAAATTTGATTATCGAAATGACAAAGACAGCTCATCAGCAATACTAACACTAGATAATATTAAAAAAAATTTCTGTATGCAAATAGAGATACACAAATAATCTTATCTTTTTTTTTGTTGCTTACCATCGATATTAGAGAATAATATAGGCGTCGAATTCATTCAGTATGCGCGTGAGGGCAAAGAATAAAGACTGAGGCCTTGTCCTTTTTTACCATCCATTATCGTTGTTGTTCTTCAATGCCGTTTATGTCTTCTTCAACATATACACAATAGTCGTTTATTCTATTTTTTTTTGGCTTTGTCCAGATTTTTTTTTCTCTTTCTATTAAGATATTTGATTTGTAAAACCATTTGACAACCTATCGAAAAGATTTCCATCATTAATAATGATCGATGAATAAATATAGTAGCTAGATATTGATTCATTTGAATAAGTGATTGAGTTTTCTCTTACTAATCATATTATGCAAAAGAAATAACCCTCGAGTTAATAACAAAAAATAATTTGCAAAAATATCCAAAGAAATTTTATTAATTACATGATTGATAATGCGAAACATATCAAACAAATATATATATGAAAAAAAATATTCTTTACTATTGGAAAATAATATGTATTGATTATTAACAAGAAGAGAAAAATGATATGTAGAAGATAGATGATGTAAGAGCTTCGCACTAAATCATGAATATTCGAGATGAATTGGTTAATGTGACAATTGTGATTACATCATACATCAAATTATCACAAGGAAGAAGAAGAACTGTTAGCCTTTTTTTCTAACGATGAAATTTTTATGTGTTAACTTGAGATTTTTTCTTTTAGCTTTAAATATTAATTTGCATGGACATATTTTTACTCATAGAAAAACAACATATGTTTTGACATGGTTGATTTACATAGAGATTTATATTCAAAATGATATTGTAATTTTCTTAATCGACCAAAGATGTCTCGTTGCATATTTTTCTATATCCTGAAATAATCAGATCTTAACTGACAAGATAGAAATTCTATTGGACTTTTTTTCCTCTTTTGTATTAAGTTGACGTAAAGAACCATTTTATCATAAAATATTGAAAGAAACATTTCAAGAATATAAAATCTAATTGTCAATTATGAATAAAACTTGTTTTTGATCAACATGTTTTTATCAAAAGAAGCATTTGTCTTTATCTATTTTTCTTCCCTAAGAAATTGATGATGAAAAATGTAACTTGTCATCGATTGCTTATAGCTATGTAAATTAAGCTCGTATCTATTGCATATTTTATGTTAGCACATGTCATACATATTTTTGAAACTATTCGAATAATCTCAAGCGATGATGGACAATCAAATCTTTACTTATGCGAAAACAAATTTAATTGTTTATATACGCAATATATATTCTTATATAATAAATCTACGAATGAAATAATGCTCTAGTAAATACTTTTAATTATCATTCCATGATAAACAATGTTAGAATGAAAAAAAATTGATTAGAACATGTTCTTTTTGTTTAGTTATCTACGACTGAGATATTTTCAATATACATAGCATCGCCATTTATAAGATAAATCATATGTCTGTTGATTGTAAGAAATTATTTCAGTGTTATTCAGTATAAATTTTTTGTAGACAACTGTTCAATGTATTCATTTGTTTTGAAGTCTTGATTGTATCTTGTTTTGGTTATTTTAAGATGAAGTGAATTTAATTATTTATATAGAATTAAATATTTATTGATAATAAATACTTAATATTATATATAGAGAAATATTTATCATGTTTTGTTTTCTTCTTCATTTCTTTATGTAATAAAAACAAATAAATATTCTAATCTTTGATAGGATTATTGAGTTAAATGCTAATGTTTCGGTTTGAAATAATCATCAATCTTTTCTAAAATAATTTTTATGATATCACAAGGATATCATCAATCATATGTTTTCAATATCTAAAGTGTTAACTCAATTTTTCTGGGTTTTGAGATAAACAAATCATGATATTTTTTCAAAAGAATATAAATATATACTAACGGTAGTATATTTTTAAATTCAAGAAAATTATTTTCTCGTTAAATCGTGTAAAGAGACAGAAAATGAAAAAGATTTCAACAATGATTAAATGTCGATTTATGTCTATTTCACCTTGAGATGTAATGACCTATGCTTATTTACATTTAAAAAAGAAAGAATTACATTTCAGAAATATTGACGATTAGTCTAGGACTAGACATATCATAATACTATTGAAGTAATTTAGTTATTTTGATTTGCTAATGACCACTTATTGAAAGATAATAAGACTAATATCTTTGCTAACTTTGGAGACAAAGATAAATCATTTTCATATATCGATAACAAACTGTCTAATATGAAATAGTGACATTGATTGATATTGTATTTGAGAGCAATAATGTTTTGATAAAATAATTCAAGTTATTTAACATAGTTACAGAAATAATTAGGGTTGTTTATAAAACTTTATGAGTTGTAATACGAAAAACGATCATTAAATTATGTCCAAATATTTATCGATCAATACATCTGGCTTGCAATTGTAGATAGAATGTTCCAGGGTTTTCGGCGAGTATACCGTAGGAAATCAAATATATCACGATGTCAGCCAGACCGAATAAATATAGATAACATTCACAGGCATATTAGAATTAACAAATCCATGGAGTCTTTATTGATTGTTTTTTTCCTAAAGGTTAGACCTATTTATAATAAACAGTACTCGAAATCTACTTATATTATAACGTCAACAAGTCTATCATCTGTAGTTTCATATAAAATATATTATGAAAAACTATAAATAATTACTAACAGATTTCAGAGTTATTCTTGATCACCGATATCATAAGACATAGTATTTGACTTATGTTTTTTTTTCAAATTAACATTTCATTCTTTGCATTGCAGGATTCAAGAAAACTATAGAAACAAAATCATAAAATGGTTAATACCATTAATAACCATATTTTGATGTTATTTCTTCAGCAGCATTCGCTTTTATTATTTATATTCTTACAGTATTACTTTGAGAACAGTCAACAATAATTCTATGAGTAATGATTATTTGAATATGATGAATAAAGAGTTATTATAGTTTGTACTAATAATATTTTGATTTAGAAGTCTAAACAAATGAACTAGTACAACAATATCAGATTTCTTTCATAAATTTAATATTCTTGAATGTAACTCTAGTACACTGACGATTGTTTTTTCGATTTCGGTTCGATATTATAAACTCACAATCGTCCAGGTCTCTTTTGATTGTTTAATAAATATTTATTTAATATGTACAGAAATCAAAATACACCACTCCAGTATTGCAGAATAGTAATAATCATCAAATTATGCACAAATTTCTCTTTTCATATTTTCTATGAATGAAAAATAAATTATCTTGAATAAACAGTTTAATTCTTTTAAATTTTTAAAATTATATATCACGTATTCATAGAACAAAATAAAATTTTAAATATCTCAATGTCATTTGACAAGAATATTCAACAACTTCATACATATGCGTGAATGATTTAAAATGTACTTTTATTGATCAAGAATAATAAGGTGGGTTTATATAATTACGCATTATAGATCTTTTCTTTTCTATATGCTTTTATTTTTATAAATATAAACCGTCTACAAATAGTACCAATATTTTTTCAATAGAAATCATTCTATAGAGGTAAATTTATAATATACTTGAAAACCAAGTTTAATCATAATTGATAGAAAACATGAATAATCTACTGTGTACATAGTAAACAATCATATATTATATGCATCCATATTTCTGTTTTTCTGTTCGATCGCTCGAGAATATTGATCGATATCATAGAATATTTTTGAAAGAAAAAGAAAAATGAGTTTCTATTTGATATACATAATATGCGCTTGAATGTCACAACATAGAATGAGAGAAAATGAATCAGTCACAACATATATTATGATGGTGCAGTGCCCATTAAGAATAATACGAAATATAAATTGTTGTTACTTTATGATTTTTCGTTATTTTACCTTTTTTTTCTTTTCAGAAGGAGATGAAGTTACAGTGGATTGTATTCACAGCTATTTGTCTACTCGGTTTTTGTAGACCTACGGATGGATTATTTGGAACTACATCCCTTCAAGACTATGTGGATAACCTTGTTGATGCTGCTAAATTTAAGTTTGAAGGTATGTTAAGTGTTAATGATTCGGTTGTTGGTCGTATGTGGACTTTTTTCAAGTCAAAATATGGTCGTGCTTATTCATCTCTTGGTTAGTTTCTTAGAATATGTTTTTTTCTTTTTAATTTATTTTGGTTTATTATAGATGAAGAAAAACAACGTCTTCGTATATTTCGTGACCATCTTAAATATGTTCTCGAAACAAATCTTAATAAATTACAGACATATGAGTTAGAATTAAATGAATATGCTGATTGGTCAACAGATGAATTTAATTCTTTGAAAAAAGGTTTGATTGTATCAACTAGTTTACGACGAAATTTCTTAGATAATTATGATGATGATAGTGAAGATAAAGATTCATTTCGTCGTAGTCTCAATAAACTTTATCAACGTCATTATCGTTCACAACGATTAAAAAGAAGTATGATTAATAGACAACATCATCGTCAAAAACATCATGATAGACGTGGATTTACTGATTGGTTAATAGGTCTTTTTAATGTTAGTACTAGTACTCCTGCTCCTGCTAATAATAATAATAATAATGCACAATCAACCAGTTCATTTGATTGGCGTAGTAAAAATGTTGTTGGTAGTATTAAAAATCAACTTAATTGTGGATGTTGTTATGCATTTGCTAGTGCATCAGTTCTAGAAAGTCTTTATGCTATAAAAACAAAAGCTACAAGTGTTACCGATTTAAGTCCACAACAAATAACAGATTGTTCTACTGGTAATAGTGGTTGTAATGGTGGAAATTTTGCACCAAGTGTTCGTTATGTATTAGGACAAGGTGGTAAAATTGCTACACTTGCATCTTATCCATATGCAGGGGTAAAACAAACATGTAAAACAAGTGGAATTAATCAAATAAATCTTGGTAATATTGAATATGGAGCTATTCCCGAAGGTGATGAAAAAACAATGGCTCAAGCACTTGTTACTTATGGACCGATATTTATTGGTCTTGATGCTGATTCTAAATTATTTATGTTTTATAAATCTGGTGTACTTACAATACCAAGTTGTCCAACTCGTCGACAAGATATGGATCATGCTATGGTTGCTGTTGGTTATGGTTATGATAGTACACTTAAATTATCATATTGGATTATAAAAAATTCTTGGGGTGAAAAATGGGGTGAAAGTGGTTATTTTCGTTTAGTAAAAGATAAAGGAAATATGTGTGGTATTGCTTCTATGGCTTATTATGCAAAATTAACATAAACTATAATATTTTTCTGGTTTCTTATTTGTCTGTCTGTCTGTCTGTCTATCGTGTGAAAATTTATTTCTTTTTTTTTTGTAGAAAGAAAAAACTTTGAATATAATCAGAGAAAAAAGAAAGTAGACGGATTGCGTGCATGCAGATGAATATAATGAGAGAAACTGTGTATATAAAGAAAAAAACAACAACTGAATATATCGTTAACAAACGAATCGGAAATAAAAATTGTCCAAAAAAAAAGAAGCGAACAAGTTACGATGGAAAAATGAGTAACAATAATTTTGTTTTTTTATGATGATGGTGGTTTATTTTGATCTGAACTATTATCAGGATCTATATAGATAAAAATAAAATAGAATTTTTGTAAGTGTTTCATAATTATAATTAAATATACTTGTTGATTCGTTGGAGTTATTATCTGGTGTTGAATTATTATTATCTCCACCAGGTGGTCGATTACCCATATTACGTCGAAGATTTTCCATAAGTTCAGGATTATTAGCTGATAATTCTGTAGCCATACGTTGGCCACTAAATAAAAATACATTAATTTATAAAAAAAACTTCTTTCTTCATTTATCTTACGTTTGTAATAGAGTTTCTAAACCAACTTCACCACCTTCTTGTCCACCTAAATTTGTTACTAGATTTGCCATTCTATAACAATCATTTAATAATTTAAATTCATTGAATTTTAAAAACGTAAAAAAAAACTTACAATCCTTGAACTTGAGGATTTTGAACAAATTGCATTGCCTATAAATCAATAAAATTATGAAGAAATGTTTTTATATCAAAATACAAAACAAACCATATTCATCAATGATGGATTATTAAAAAATGACATCATGTCTGGTCCACCAGCTGCACCACCACCCATACCAGGCATACCAGGTATACCACCCATGCCAGCCATACCAGGCATTCCACCCATGCCAGCCATGCCAGGCATACCACCCATACCACCCAATAATGATCCAAACATAGATTGCATATTAGGTACCTAAACAAAATATACTATGAAAACATAAATAATAAACAAATATAAACATACACCACCAGCTGCAGCACCAGCCGCACCTCCTGGTGCTCCATTCAATCGATCTTCACAGATTCTAATAGATTGTTTATAATTGTCATTATTTGGTTCTAATGCCTGTGCTTTTTTATATGCATCAAGTGCTTCATGTACTTTATCTAATGAGAGATAAATAACACTATAAAAAAAAAACAGCAGAAATTATTGTCAATATATTTTTCAAATAGAAAATTTCTAATATACCCAAGTCGTCCATAAGCTTTACTGTAATTTGGATCAATTTCAATAGAATGAAAACAATCATGTAATGCTTGATCATTATTATTTAATTTATTATGTGCAGCAGCACTAGAGTGAAAAAAAGAAATAAAATTTATAATATGTATGTAGTTATTAACAGATAACATACCGATTACAATAATAAATGGCATTATTACCATCGATTTGAATTGCTGCATTATATGCATCTAATGCTTCTTTATATTTTTCTTGTTTAACAAATTCATTTCCTTCATTTTTTAATTTATCCGCTTGTTGTCGCATATCATCTGTTAATGGTACATTCATAGACTAAAATTAAAATACAATACATACATAGTTTTATATAGAAGAAATAACAGATCAATACCGGTTGTTCATTAGCACTTAGCCATGATGTGAAAGTTGCTTGATGCGATGATGTTGCTGCTGCAATATCTGATACAAGTGATACAAGATCTATAGGTGGACCATACATTGATTCATTTTGTGCATTTGTAAGTGATACTTCATATGCTGTTTCAAGACATTGAACAGCAACTAAATAAAAATAATTGTTTGAGTAAAAATTAAATCTTATTTATATTAATCTATATAGATAATATACCTTCCATGCTTTCACGTCGTTCAGCGTTAGAAGATTCAGCTCGTATTTCTCCATCGAGAAATTTTAAAATTGCATAAACTAAATGTTGTTTTGCTATTTGTTGATGCGACATATTAATTGAATATGTAAACTTGAAACTAGCTGAAAAATTAACTAACCTTATGTGTCATCCCATCAGATCGAGTGGAAGAACCAATTGGTATGACTAAATAAAAATAAAGATGTCACTAAAATCTAGTATACAATACATTAAAAAAATATATATTTATAATTATATTATGGCAAAGATCATTTAATTTATGAATAATTCAATGCTATATACTATATGCAAAAGAAGTAATTAACAGCTTGAATTCAAATTAAATAACATATCTTTTTTCAAGCGTTTCTTGACTTATATTTTATTGATGAATAGTTTTATATAAATTCGCTGTAGATTTTCTTCATACTATACAAAATAACATACATCGTTATTTGTAAAAGGATAATTTTTTATGGACAAAATAATAATGTTCGTTTATAATTATGTAATAAATTAAAAATGATAAAAATATTCAAGAGTATAAAATTTAGTAAAATAAAAAGACGCTAGAAAAAAAGATCCTTGATTAAATTAAGTTAAATTGACAATTCTACATTGATGTTGAATTGTCATATAAATTCTTTATGTTCATATCAAAATAAGGGCCATTTATAACATTAGGCACAGTTGTTATCTGAAAACTATTGACGGATGTTACATAACCAATACCTGTAGAATCAACTACATTTTGTAACCATGGACCTCCACTACATCCAGGACCCATATTACATGCTAATCCTAGCCCATGGTAATTGTTTTGTGTATATGCTGAGTTTTTTGTTGTGTCTGAGCATTTTTGTAGTGTAAGGCCAGAGTTGATATTACTCGGGTACCAAACGAATAAGTAAACGCTGAACGTGGAAAGTTAAAACCAATTCCTTGTGAACCAACATATGCTTGAAGATGTTGTCCATTTACTGTTGATACAGCTACCATAGCAACATCATAGTTGTAGTCACTTTGAGTTGTCCATCCTACAAGTGCCGTAACACGTCGCATAGGCCATACTCCATACGGAGTATTACCATTGTTATAACCCGGAACGAAAACCCAATTATTTTGGTTATACCAAGTTTTGCTAGTTGTATCATAGACACAATGACCAGCAGTACAAATCATATCACCAGATTTTGAAACAATAACAGCAGCTGAACAAGTATAATGTGTTGTTCCAACTTGCCAAAAGACACGACCTGTTGTATAAACTTGACGACCATTTGGTGAAATAATCTTACTCTTTGTAGAATTATTTGTTGGTAGTGAGCCTGCAATACTTGATTCAGGTCCAGTTAACACTGCATTATTGATTAGCTGTTATTTACTATTTGTTTTAGATAATGAGATATCTAATGATTTTGCCGATTTGAGTTTATCTGAAGTCCAATAGTTACTTAATTGTTGATTGAATGCATCTAGTGTCATTTCTTTTGAGCGAACGACATCACTACGAGCAATGCCGATAAATTCTGCTGTCAGAATTGTCGGAAGAAAACAAATGATAAAAAGTTGAGTAAGCATATCGTTGAATATTGTCTATCAGCCAAGAATATATGATAAAATAGCTGGTGGATTGTCATTTTATACTATATGATATTAGTCATCAGGAAGTGATTTTTCCCCTGTCAACGTCATATGCTGGACTGATCACTCTTCCCTCCCCTGCCCTGCAGGCTCATGTCATGTAGCGTAGAAGAAGAGGAAAAACTTAATGTTTTACTCGGCTCTTTCAATATGTCATTAAGGTAATGTAATTGTCAGTTATTTTCTTTTTTACTAACCAGTAATATTATTCATCCAAATATTAAAGCAATATTATTATATATTATTGTAGCAATGTACCCTCATATACCCTGAGGGGTAGGGCGCGACGACTATTACTGACAAAAACATCGAGAAAAATAATAATATTGATTAATGTATTTGATGTCATGCATATTACTCATAAATATTTGATTGAGTAATACTTTATTTTTTAAATGATAAGATGAACATATCTTTCTTTTTACGTACATACTAAATTTTGTAACTGAATAACAATATAAATCATTATTTATATATTAACCTTCAAAACTTGTTTGCATTGTTAAATTCATTAATTCAGTCTTTATCTAAACTTAAAAGTTAATATTTGTTCTTTTTTTTCTTCATCTTTTCAATATTCTCTATAGTTCTAGTCAATATTTAAAGATACATAGAAATCATTTTCAAATTGTTTATTTTTATTATGAAAAGCTTTGTATCTTTTATTTAAATAACACAATATCATGAAGACTTTTTTTTCTATATTAGTGGAGGTGTTATTTCAATCTCTTCTTTTTTTTTCCTTCAATGACTAGCTTATCACAATGATTAAGCTGTACATGTATGTATTTCTATTCTTCTTTCCTATTATACTGGACATACATACACAACTTATACAATCGAATGACCTTTGAAGGATCTATGACATAATAGAAGAAGGAGAAACAGAGAGAGAAAAAGTATTCAAATAAAGAAGCCATATATATTTAGAAGGTTAGCGGTTACATCTTACAATGATGATCTCTTGTTTTACATTGACATAAAAAAAAACAATAATGTAATGAATGTTTAGTATGTGAATAGTAAAGAATGTGTCATTAAAATAAGAATGTATTCGAAACAAGTAAGTTAAATGAATTTTGTTTTATTTGAAAACGAAGGAAAATTTTTTCTCTTTTTTTCTTGTCATTGTAAGTATTCATGTTTAATAATATGGCAATCCGAATGAACCATGTTATTCATTCTGATTACTGCTATTGGTTTTTATACAAGTACTGCTGAACTTGTTTCTTCTATTCCATGTGAATATATAACTGATGAACAACTTCTCTGTCGACAAACATCATTTACTGATGATAATATTCCATTGAATAAAGAATCAAATTATTCTCAAATCATACAATTTGAATGGATTGAATCAGGTGCATATATATTTTCTGATAATCTATTTGAATTATTTTCTGATCTTAAAAATGTTTCATTACGTTCAAATGCATTAACATCATTATCAATTCTACCATTTTGGTCTCATTTAAAATCTATTTCACATCTTGATCTATCACAAAATCGTTTAATAACAATAAATAATCGTGATTTTCAATCATTTAAAAATTTAATATCATTAAATATATCATTAAATTTTCTTACAACAATCGAACCTATTTGGTTATTAATACCATTACATATAATTGATCTATCACAAAATGGTATTAATTCAATAGGTTATATAAAACTTCAAAATAGTACATCAGAAATAAATTCATGTGTATTAGAACAAATTTATTTCAATAATAATCGTGGTCTTCTATCATTTACACAATTACAAATGAATATAATGAATACATGTCCTTTTATTGATCGTTTTCAATTAATGAATAATCATTGGCATTGTGCATGTAATGATCTTATTCATTCTCTTAAACATTATCGAAAATTAATTCTTATCGATGAATTTTCTAAGAGTTTAAGTGGTCAATGTGAAACACCTCTAGCATTTCGTAATATTGATATACAAAAAATGCATGAAGAATTAGTATGTGATAATAATCTTCTATTATTTGATTCAACACTTAATGATGAACAATCATCATCATCATCATCATTTTTATCTCGGCAAATTATTTTTTTATTTATATTGGGTTGTATCATTGGAATTATAATTGGTTTATGTTTACATTATTGTGCATATCGTTGCCTTGATGTACTTTCGTATCTATTGTATAAATGTAATCGACAGAAAATAATTAATGAAAGAAATGTTAATGAATCAATACAAATGAATGATTCTAATCATAATGCAAATCGTTTTATTTATTGTCCAACCAATGAATCCGATACTTTACCAAGTTATTCTCAAGTAATGAATGATATATTTTATTTAGATGTTCTCAATCGACAGCATCAGACTGAATTTGATGGTGAATGTTAAAAAAGAGAATTTGTTTTTTTATTAGATGTCGAAGAAAAATGAATTGTTAAATAAAATATATTAGTTTAAAGATATGTCTAAAATGTAAACAACTTTAAGTTAAGAATATAATTAACGAGAAAAAGCTAATAAATGATATCTTTTTCACCGATTCCTACTGCACTAATGATAATAAAAAAAAAGAAAAATCACGAAGTGTCTTTGGTAATGCTATTTAACATAGTTTAAAGTTTTGATTGAACCATTTGTTTTAATAATTTTTCTAATTTAAGTGCTGTTGGTAAATCACCTAAAGAAAATAAAACGTCGATTAAATAGAAAATTATCATTATTAAATATACCTTGAATTTTTAATTTTCCACCCATAAATGCTGCTGTTGGTTTTAATTTACCGGCAAACATTGATTGAAAATCAGCTTTGGACATTTTCATTGTACATTGTGCTTTACCAGATGGTGGTTCACCTTGACCAGCACTACCATTATCATTTTTCATATCTAAATACCATCGATCTCCTAGAATACAAAGAAAATATAACTTCTTTTTTTTCTTCAAAAGTTAATTAACCTTGTAAATCAAATGAATAAACACTATTGATTTGTTTTAATAATTCTGGACTTAATAATGTTTTAATTTTATCAAAAATTTGTTCGACATTTACTGCTCCTCCACTAGCAGCATTTGTTTCTGATTTTTGTCCAGACATTGGTGATTTGTCACGTTGTAATTGCGAAATATTTTCATCAAGAAAAAAATCAAGCATAAAATCAGTTGTACCAGGTATAACAGAATATTGATCAAAATCAGTTACACCTTGTTGTCGAAGTAATGTTTCATCAATAAAAAAATTACCAGTACATGATCGACTATCTTGTGTTAAAATTGCATATGCAGCATCAGCCATTATTTCTGGTCGTCGACATCGTTTACGATAATCTTCACCAGCAATTAAATTTATTGCATCAGTATCAATAGCTAATTAAAAGAAAATGTATATTCTTACAAGAAAATAATTATGTATACCTGTTTTTGGCCATAATGTATTAACAGCAATGCCAGATTCACGTAATTCAGCTGAAAGACCGAGAGCAAATAAAGACATATTATATTTAGCAACAGTATAAGCAACATGTGATTTGAACCAAAATGGATTTAAAGATATTGGTGGAGAATTCATAAGAATATGAGGATTGGAAGATTTTTTTAAATATGGAATAGCCACTTTTGAACTGAAAATAAACGAAAAATTGTTAAAAGAATATTTCTATTCAGCTCAATAAAAATAATATACCAGAGAAAAGTACCACGTGCATTAATAGAATGCATTAAATCATAACGTTTCATTGGTGTTGATGGTGTATCGGTTAATGATATAGCTGATGCATTATTAATTAAAATATCAATACCACCAAATTTTTGTGCAGCTTGTTCAAATGCTTTAGTAACTTGTTCTTCATCACGTACATCAACAACACATGGTAAACATTGACCTCCGGCTTTTTCAACTAAATAAATAGAAATGAATTCAATAAAAAAATCGAACACGTTCATCATTTATAAAAATAGTTTTACTTTCTTTAGCTGCTGTATAAATTGTTCCAGGTAATTTTGGATGTGGTTCAGTTGTTTTAGCCGCAACAATAATATTAGCTTTATCTTTTGCACATCGTAAAGCAATTTGTAAACCAATACCACGTGATGCTCCTGTAATGAAAATTGTTTTACCAGCTAATGATCTTTTGAAAAGAAAATATACAATTAATTTTTCTTATCAGACAAAAAAACATTATTTAACTTACGGCATGTTAATACAAAAGTTGAATTATGAAAAGGAATAACTATCTGAAAGAAAAACGACAAATTCATAAAAATCGATCAAGAAATTGTATATAAGATGATTTAGCTTCTGATGATGTGGGAACAAAATGTCCGCCATCATGTCGTAAAATTTCAGCATTTTTAAAACATTCATTCGCTAAAGTTTCTGACATAAGACACGGAATAACACGATCATTAATTCCAATCACATGTAAATTAGGTAAATCAATTTGAAGATTATTATACATTGATTGATGTTGTTCTTGACCACTTCGAAAGCTAGCAACTAAGATAACAAATCGAAAAGGATATTTCATTGTTGATAAACGAGCAAGAAGTAATACTGCAAATGCAGCACCTTGAGAAAATGCTAGTAAACCATCAAATGGTACTTCTTGTTCATTGATATATTTAATTACATATTCTAATGATTCGTCAAAACCTCGATCACATGACGTCGTTGCTAATGGATCATAAGTTAGATCAGCAGCAGAAAACCACCAACCTTTAAAAAATAAAATGAAAGTTCAGAGTTATCCAAATGTAGAATAGAAACATAACCCAACTAGATTTATTACAATCAAATTCATCAAGTTATCTACTATTTATTTGTTAATAAGCATATTATAGAACAATCACAAGACTATTTCGTAGTTTTTTATAAGACATATACAATTCGATTATTCAATATTTATGAATACCTCTTTCGTTTGTACGATTTGATGCTGATGCATTTGTATCATCTTCAATGATATTATCTTGCACCGGTAAGATATGCGGTGCATCAATATAAACAAATTCTGCCACATGTTTTTTTAATACTTTCCTTAAAGAACCTGTTTTTTCTCGAAACATATTTCCATTTTGTCGATAACCATGTAAACAAAGAATACGTAATAATGTCATACTAAAATAAGATGTAATTGAATACAAAACAAAGAAGAAATAAATATAGTTTTAGAGACGTTATTTTTCTTTTTTATTTTAAATAAAACTTATGATCTTTAAATTGTTATATATGTCTATCCATGATTGGAAAAAAAGGCGAAACACCATAGTATATGGATGAGATTACGATTAAAATAAGGAAAAAAAAAGATATGAAATCTTCGTTCTTTTTTTTTGTGTGTTTTGGCTTAATTTTGTAAAATAAGTATATTGATATAAATAAATTAGTGATAATTTTATCCTATGATTGACTTAAATTAAACTGATTTGATGATACGCATTCGAATTTGATCAAATTTTTCTCGTAATTGTGTACCATCAAAACTAAAATATACGATTTAGAATATGATTATGCAGAAAAAAAAGATGAATTAATTATTACTGTGTCCATTTATCGTAGAGTATTGCATAAATTTGTTTTAAATAAATTTCAGTTAAACTTGCAAAATTAGCTGTATAATAACTTGCCCAATCAAATAAAATATTTAAATAATGAACACTTTCAGTAAATATAACTATTGATAATCGTTGAATCTATTAGAATATGTATAAATCATGATGAAATATTTTCTTTCAATTCTTACTTGTTCAGCTATTTCAACAGTTTTATCATAAATAGGTCCTTCAATGTATGTCAATAATAAATTCCATTGTTTTTGAAGATATTGACCAAATTTAATGACATATGGTTCCATATTGATCATTGTTGAACGAATAAATTCTTCACCATGCTTCACTGATGATAAAGTAAATTTTTTTGTTTCTGCACATGCATTGGATAATTGTTCTTTAATAATAATAGCTGTTGGATGTTTAAGATAATCTAAAATAAAAATAATTATTTAATTATAAAATATTTTCTGTATTATTTTACCTTCAAGTAAATAATCAGTAGCAACAGTTAACCATAACCAATTGGAATATATTGTATATGCAATGGAAACTACAATAAGAAGTTTTATTAATGAACCAATTCTTGATTTTGAACGTGTTTGATGTTTGTTTACAACAACTGTATCCTAAATAAAAGCAAAATATTAAAAGATAAGTTATTTTCTTTGTTTTTTACATTTTTTGAGTAAACACGTAAAAATTCTTTATGATCAGTTTTATCATCTTCTTCATTGGAAATAGTTCGAAGTTGTTGAACAATCGTTCGAAATTCTTTTGATGATGATAAACCAGGAGTTGATATTTCATTTGTATGTAATAATGATAAAAGATGTCTAAGAACAAAAACAGTAACTAATGAATTATTTATTTCGAATTAACTTACAATGAATTTAGTGGATATTTTTTATGTAGTGATAACCATGTTTTTATTATTGCTTTGTCTGTAAAACAAGCAACAATCATACGATCAATCTAAATAATTTCATATTTTATTTAGAAACAAATGAAAAAATCTTATTTCTTTACATTTGCTTGAGTTTTTGATTGCCGTTGTTTATCATTATAAAGAGCTGGAAATAAAACTTTAAAATAATCATTTGAATGTTGAGATAAATTCTTTGTATTATTTATAAATAATTCCTACGAATTAAAACAATGAAATATATAGAATTAATTCATTGTTGGTTTTTACCGAAAGATTATTTGCACTTTTTGCAAGTGATGTACGCATTTCTTTTGTTAATGCCGGATTAGGTCGATCAACAAAATCCAAAAGTTTCACATAAGATTCCGTTGGGAAAATTTCATTAGTTCGAAGAAATTTTTTTGTTTTAGTATCTCGCCTAAACAAGAAATTCTAGGATGAGTATATAGAGAGGAACAAGAAAGAAATATATTTACGTTGTAATTTTAGATAAATTTTCCACAACAAATTGATTATATGTACGATTTTCAATAAGTGGAAACATCAAACGAAACCATACTGAAATAGAAATTAAAATCATTTCGTTCATTTTCTATCGATAATAGCAAATACTTCTTATATCTATTACTTACTATCTAATGCCAAACCGGGATGTTCATATTGTATTTGGCTGTAAGCCCAAAGTAATCGAAGTACTTTATCTGATTGATATCGTTTAAGTGATGTTGATAACTAAATATATTACATGGGATTTTATTAAATAGCAGAAAATAAAAGTTTTCCTTACTTCATCAACATCATTAAGAAATGATTCATTGGGTAATTCATCAAGATTTCGAAGAAAATATTGTAATAATGTTTGATATCCAACAATACCATTAATATCTAAGATAAATAAACACAAATAATAAAAAAACATAAGAATATAAAACATTTTTTGTTACCAGCATTTGGATTAAGAATGCCATTTCGACAAAGTGTAATAGCTTTTAATTTTGATTGTGTATCAAAAATTTCTTTTAAATAATCTCGAACTGATGTTGAAAGTGCATTTAATGGATATTCTTTTTAAAAGAAATCATTTATTATTTTTTTCTTTCAATTTAGAATTTCGCTTTATTTACCTTGGCTTGATTCCTTAGCAAAAGTTGGATCATTTAAACCGGATGTTGTTTCTTTGAAATGTTCAATAAACCCATAACAAATTTTTTCAACCCATATTGATGAATTATCTTTAGATGATTTATATAATTGCTTTAATTTATCAACATTTATCTATTCAAACATAACATAAAGAAAATAAATTTATAAAATCAATAAAATTACATTTTGAAGTGTTTGTTTTAATGTTAATGCATTTGAAGTTGGTTTATTAGGTTTAGTGGCTTTTACTGATGTATTTTTTTCAGTAGTTGGTATAGGTTTTGGTGCTTTATTTGTAACTGTTTCATTTTCATCATTTTCATCAGGTACACGATCCTTCATAGAACTAAACGCACTATCCGAAAGTTTAATTGCTAGAAGATAATAAATTAAAATGAATATTTATATTGATGCAAAAAAGAGAACATACTTTTTACTTCCGCTTTTGGTATAACAGGTGCTGCTGATGATTTTGAAGATGGAGCTGCTTTTGTCTTTGCTTTTCCTGATACTGTTGTCCAACTTGTTTCGTTATTAGGCATGTTGATATGTATGAAACGAGTAGATATGTAGAATCTGAAAAGATAATATTTATATTCTTAAAGAATCTTTAAATATAAAGAAACTATATATGTCATGTATTGTTGTCTTTTATCATTATAGTGTGTCGTGTCGTGTTAATACCACTTCACGCAAATTGACTGGTAATTTCAAATCAACCAATGAAAAATATAGAGTATTTTTTTATATTACATTATTTGATATTGTATTATGATAGGTGAAAATAATTGATAGTTCACTTTTTTCACGTACATTTAGTACTCTTTTTGACTTCAATTAATTCGGAAATAATTATGACTGTCTAAAAGTCATGAAGTTAGAGGTGAAATTTTTATTAAAATCACCAATCAATCTCAACGGTAGTCCATAGAATAAAATTTTGTTTTTAACTAAGCCATTTACAATAGTGATCTAAACTGTAATTTGTGAATATCTGATCATACTGAAAAGTGTAATCGAATTACGTATCGTGAAATCCCATCAAAAAGTAGAATAATTATTAGCGGAATGTGCTATTAATACATAAGACTGAATTCAGATGTAATGACGACTAGCTTCGGACAAAATATGGGGGCGTAACGATTCGTAACGAAAAATTTCCCGGGCTTTCGTAATCAAGTTTTTATTGCATTCATAACTAAAATGAGAGACTGATACTAAAAAGAACAGGGTATTTGTTACGAATACTCATATTTACAAATATCGCTTAAATCTCGTTCTCTCGTTCTACTTTTGTATTCCCTACATTATAATTCTGGTAGATCTCTAAGTTCCATGTGAAATCATATCAGTAACATCGGACTAGATATCATATTAAATTCTTATACGTTACGAATCGGTACGTTCACCAAAATACATCTTTAAACTATATGAAAGTTAGATGAGGGTACTGCTTGTGTTTTTCTCTTTTTATTCAAAAATCAAAGTTGAGATTGATACTTTATTTGTATATTCAAAAAAAGTTTAATTTCTTTTATCACAACAATCCATAGGATAACATCATTTTATTTGTTTTCCTTGATTACAAACTTAAATTGCTGTTCAAAATAAAAATAACATTTATATACACACAAAGGAAAACAAACAAAAAAAGATCCAGATCAGATAAACAAACAGAAAAAAAAAGAAGAATAGTACAACTTGTTATTTTTTGCAAAGAGAAAAAAATTGTTAACTGTTAATAACAAAACAAAAACGAAAGAAATTGATATGAGAGATGTATGCAATGTCTATATAAATGCTTTGATAATTATTCAAGCATTATATATATTGAAACGAAAACAAAATTATACAAATAAATATGCACATTGTAAATAAAAATATATAAATAATTTATTGTTTTAAATTGTACTTAATGTTAATAAGTGTCGAGTTTGATTTGATGGCTTTCCTTTATTTTTATGTTCAATTTTTTCGACACCATTTTCTTTTATTTTTGTTAAAGGTGGATCATCAGGTACACGTTGAGAACGTGTAGGATTTGAATCACTTGAATCAGTTGATAATTTTCGCTTAGATAAACCATTACAAATTATTGGAGGATTATCATCATCATTATTGTCTTCTTCTTCTTCTTCATCATCGATTACTTTAACTAAAATTTCAAATAAAATAAAAATTAGTTAACTTAAGAAACAAACTAAACGAACCAGTTTTTATTTTGATATATTCATCTGTAATACGATTTAATTTATTTCGTAAACGACTAATACGACATGTTAACCAAATACTCCAAATAATTAAACAAAACATAATAAAAACTATGAATGGAATCCATGCTTCAAGTTTTATTAAACGATAGGATATATCATTGAAATCTTCTTGTAATTTATAGAAATGTTCTTCTAAATTTTGTAACTAAAATACATAGAAAAATGATAATTAAATTTAAAAATGTATAAAAATAAATTACTTTTTCATTAGCACTTTTTGATGCTTTTAATAGAAGATCAGTTGTTTGTTGTGTTTCATCAAGTTTTTTTCTATATGAACAAATGAATATATTCTTTTCAAATAAAAGTTTATAGTTTAATACTTACACATAATGTTGACTAAGTTCTTGTAAATATCGATTACTTAATGTTAAGTTAAAATTAAGTTTTTCGATTACTTTAAATAATTCAGGTAAAGATTTTGTATTAATTAACATGCCTTTAAGCCATGTACTCGATATAAGTGGTGGCATTGCTTCATGATTTGTTAATGTAGAAGGTGTTGCTGCTGCAATTTCATCGATAGTATTAGGATCAACTGTTGATTCGACCGACTCAAAATCAATATTAGTTGATTCAATAGTTGAAGGTTGAAAAGAAGTTTCATTTGTTATATCCGCTGGAATTTCTGATTCGACCACCACTGGTGTTTCATCTGATATATTATTGGCGAAAGTTTGTTCGACAGTACGATCTATTATAGTTGGAATTTGATTCACACTTGATGATAAATTGCTAAGATTCAACTCAGATTGATTAGCAGATACATTTGTAGCTAGAATAAATATAATTTACGAGTCTTATATAAAATATAAATTAATAAATACTTACATTCGTTCACAATCGTTACAGTATCATTTTTTTCAATAGTTACATTTTTTTCACTAGAATCCTCCGTTGATTCACTATTTAAATTTGTTGGTATTGTCTTATTAACATTATTTAATTTTTCTTTTTCACATACAAGATGATTAGTTAAAATATGATAATATCCACATGGATTAATATATATATTTAACGTTGATTTTATTCGATTAGTTTTATTATTTATAATTGTTGATGGACATTGACAACAATAATTTGATTTCAAACAAATGTGGGATAAATAAATAGTACATGTAGTAAAATTTACCCATAAACCTTCAAGAAATTCAGCTATACATTGTTTAAATGTATCACTTTGACGCCATAATTTAATACTATCATTAGTAGCAGAATTATTAAAAACTGATTGATGACAATCAGTTTTTAATTCATTTGTTGTTGTTATTGGTATTGATGTTGTTGATATTGTACCACGAATCGTTTGACGACGAAAAACTCTTTTTGCTAAATCAATTATAGCAGAACCAATAATACCACCAACTTGTTGTTCATTAGATAAATCATTATCATCATCGTCATCATCATCTTGTGTTCCATCTTGTATATTTGTAAATGAATTTGAATCAACTAAATTCGTATTTTCTTCCATTGTTATTAATTCATCTTCAACATTTGATCCATGTATACGCACAACACTTAATGGACAATAATGTTCATGTCCATGAAAATCTAATAATTCAAATTTAACATATTTAAGATATGTTGTAGATTCAAGTGTTTGAAAACTTTGTATTGTACGATTAAATGATGCATTAAATGTACCCAAATGATGACGATGCCAATCTTTTGTTGAATATCTAAAATATCGATTTAGTTATTATTCTGAACTCTTAAATTTTGAAAAATTTTATTTACCTGTCCGAAGCTGAAACTCGGAATGATTTTGGAACTGATGAAAAAAGTTCAAAATTGGCAATTTCAATATTAAATATGCGAATTGATTCACATAATTCAATAACAAACCTAGAAAAAGAAGAAAAACAACCTTTTTTTCTAGCATTTCAAAATAATATAAAGAATTTTCGTACCAAATTTTTGCATTACAAGGATTGAGCATATATTCATCTGGCGATGAAGATAAAATCGATGGCACATTTTGTGCTTCAACATTATGAGCAAGTATTTTTGCACCACATGATGCACTTGCAAAATTTTTTCGAAGTTTTCCCTTCTTTGGCGAACCTCCATTTGATACTACTGGTTGACCATTTGTTGATGTTGAAGTTCCTCCTTTTGATGAACCTGGTGAAGATGTCTCTGATGCTACACTATTTTGATCGGTAGCTTTGCCTTTTTCTATACATATATTTAGAGAGAGAATTTATTATAATGAATAAAAGAAAAAAACAAACTTATTAAATCAGCATAAAGTTGTTGCTGTTTCCATTCTTCGAATGAATTAATATTCGATAGATTTTTCTTAGTTACTAATGGTGTTGCTGTGGTTGTTGGTTGATCATCATTCACTTGATTATCTGCTATAAATAGGCTAAAACAGAAAAAAAAGATAAGAAAAGTGTTTATTTCATTTAATCAATAACTTACGAATTTGTTGATGAAAATACTTCATCGGACGCGTCTGATTTATCTTCTACTGATCTATACGAAATAATAAAGTTACAAAATTTTACAAGAAAATATGACTACTTACATCGTCAATACATCATTTTCGATTATGGACGTACTTTCCGAATTCTAAAAAAAATTGTTTTTTTTTATCATTATTAAATATTTCTAAACATACGGTATCTGATGATATATTATCATTTAATTGTGAAGAATACTCATCGATAATAGTTTGATCATTCTTATCATTCTATCAAAAGTAAACAATTAAATACTTCCTTTTTTTTCTATAGATAAAAAAAAGAAAATATTTACTCGATTATTGTCATCAATTGGATCTATACATGTAATTCTAATACATAACAATAAACTGATAATGAATATTGCTCTACAACAAAAAATTATTTCAAAAATGTCTAATAAATGTATATTACTTACAAAATATCGAATTTTTTTGATATAATGCGCACAATCATTCAAGAAAACAAAACGAGAATAAGAGATATACCAATGATGGTCCAGAGATAATTAAGACAAAATTTATCTGAAATAGACATGATACACGTCAACAGTGATCAAGGAATGTCCTACAAAAAATTCTTGTTTTTTTATTTTTTTCGTGAAATCTTCACAAATAATACTAATAACAAAAAAAAAACAACAAAAGTTCTAAATTTTTTTTTTCTTCTTTTCATTTTTCATTTATTCGGTTTTAACAATTTCGGATTCAAGTTTATTGACTTTTTCAATAATTTCATCATACAATTCTTTGTAATCAGCATGTGAACGAACCATTAATAAACAACATGTTCGATTGGCACGAATTATACTTCCTAAATCTTCTTTTGATGGTACAAATACATATGGAATATTTGCTTCTTCTAAAATTAGAAAAAGACGAAAAAAAATTTTAATGGGTATTTATTTTTGTAGTACATACCGCAAACAACAGGCATATGACTATAAATATCGATTGGTGTTACATTACCAGCAAAAACAACAAGACCTTTTTCTCCACGACGAATATATTTTTGTGTTTCACGTAAACCTAATCGAACATAGTTTTTTTGTTTTGTTGCTTGTTTGATAACTTTAAACACTTTTTTAGCTAATTTTTTTGGTGCAATAGGTGAAGCCATTGCATTCATGTATTTAAATTTATCTTCATAACTTGGACCTGAGTTTTCTGCACCATTCTCATCACCATTTGCTGCACTTGTATCCATAGCTTCATCGTTTTGAGCTTGTTTTTTATCTTTAGTCATTTTTACTTTTGAAATTTTTATACGTATGTATACACTAATCTCTAGATATAATAACTAACGATAATCAATAAAATACTATCACGTAGATGTAATGATTCATACAAAATTTTTTGATTGGACGGTATAGTTGTCCGAAGAGGCATTGTATTAGCGCCACCCTTTGTTTATTGTTTACAAAAGACAATAGTTTGTTTTCTTTTTTAATTTTGCTTCTAATATTAAACGAAAAAAATGGTTGGTATAAAGAGAAAGCAACGAAAACGAAAATATGAAACAAATGGAACAATTAAAACAAATACGCCAAATAAAATCAAAAATTCAAGTCGTTCATCGCGTATTATAACAAAAAACTTCGAAATATTTGTTACTGATTTTCTTATGGATCCATGTGGTTTGCCTCTTGAGTTAAGAGATTATGTTTTAGTAGATGGATCAACAACATTAAATGAAACATCAGGTTTTAATTATAAATAAAATAAAATAAAAATTTTATAAATAAATTTATTTAGATACTTCTTCAACGAATAATAGTCAAGTTTTAAAGAAAATTTTTGGAAATAATGAATCTATTGATCGAATGGCTAAAACTTCGTCTACATCAGTAGTGGAGGGTAAATATCATATTAGAAAAATTTAACTTTCAATTTATTTATTTTTTTAATTTAAGAATTACCTAAAAAGACAAATGATGGTGAACACAGAATGAATGTTTAACAACTATTTCGAATAGAAGTATAAAAGAAATTTACTTTATTATTGTATTGTATTTTTCTTTTTTTTACTTTGAATATTCTATTTTTTTCTTGTGAATGAATGTTTTGTTTAATCGTATACTTTTCTATCATGGAAACTTGTATACATCCACATTTATTCGTATATAAGCGATTGTAATTTTTTCTTTTCCTTTTTTGCAGTATGTACAGATAATTAACAGAAACGTCATTTATGACGAAAAATCAGTTTACCATAAAGAATGATCTATTTGATATCATATTTTGTATGTTATATAAATATATGGATGAAAATTGAAATTCGATTACGAATATATAGTCAAGCTAATAATTGTAATTATATTATTTCTATCACGACACGTGTAAAGGTGACAGAGTATAAAGTGTATTTTTCGATACGTAGGACATAGTCTTGTTATTGTTAGTCTTTTCTTTTTTCTCGTCCGATGACAGTAATAATTACAATGATAAATGAGTTGTCTAGATACAAAAAAAGAATATCTAAACGTACACTGAGTACGACAATAGTTAATAAATATATAGTAAATAAAATAACGTACTACATCAGAAATATATCCTTATCTTTTCGTTTTTGTTATTTAATGTTATCATCTATTATACAGAAGTCTTTTGGTATATAACAGTTTCATATTTAAAGTTGTATTGCAATACCCGAATTTCTTATGATAGAAAGATTCTTTTGAGTCAATGAAGCATTTTTACGAAATATGCTGATTATATAATCTTTTATCATAAATCGTGACTTGTATAAAAATAACACTGTCGCTAATATACTAATTATTCCAAAAGTAAGAAATAAATCAAGTAATGAATCAATATCAATAATCGTAGGTGTAACAAATGTACTTTAATCAAAATCTGCATCAATTAGACCGTTTAATAAACTTTGATATTGTTCATCTCTAGAATTTAATGGATGATAATTTTTAATGCCATCAGATATTTCTCATAAATAAGAAGCTAAGTTTGCAATATAGGTTGCTACAAATACTATACTTAATATGTACATGCTCATTGTTAATAAGCGTCCAACAGCTGTTCTAACATGAAAATCTACTCCATATTCAACGATAACACCTATAGAAAACCACATGCTTATTGCAAGTAATGAAAATATAGACCTATTTTGTAATATTTCGTTATCTTGTCGTTCTATTAAGCAAAGAGAAGTAGCAGCAAAGATAGCAGATGCAAAAATTACGGGTGTGAGGTTGTGTCTGAATGTGGGTGTAGACAAAAAGAAAGAGAGTACACCTACACTGACACCCGAGTTTTACCTGTTGTTTATTTCTGACAACAGTGATACTACTAAGGTCTTATTTTTAGCGTTTTTAAACTTTTTGATATTTTTCCTTTCGACAGTAGTCAATAAATTCGTCGAGAGCAACGAATGATTAATATTCTTCACATTTGTATTTATATCCATCCTTTTTCAATGAAAATATCCATTCAGTTGTATAAATAATGATTTATCTTTTACCAACAACCGTCATACAATATAAATTCGAGATATTACTGCAACTCATATATTATTTGGTGAATGATAATTTATTAAGAAATGTGAATGATTAAATAGCTTGATTACATATAAAAACATTTTAGGATTGAGTTCACAAAAGAAAATGTCATTCTGTTTATATCGACTAATAAAGTTCAGCACTACTGAGACCGCCACCCAATCCACCAGTAACTAATACTGATCCATTTGCTAATGTGGATGCTGTGTGATATTCTCGTGCGATACTCATGCTTCCTGCGATTGTCCAAGTACCTGTTGATGGATTGTACAATTCAGCACTATTGAGATAACCACTACTGCTGTTACGTCCACCAGCAACTAATACTGATCCATTTGCTAGTGTGGTCACTGTGTGCTCTGCTCGTGCCAGTGGTTTATCTAGCGGGGGGGGGGGGGGCGGGGGGTTTTTTCCCCCCCGGGGGGGGCCCCCCCCCCCCCCCCCCCCCCCGGAATCCAAAAAAATTACGCTTTTTGAGTCTGAAACTCTACGTTTGCCCCCTCAGAAGAGAGATTTTTGCCCCCCCGGCAATGAATTTCGCACCCTCGGACGAAAAAAGCTGGATAAAACACTGGCTCGTGCGACATTCATGCTTCCTGTGATTGTCCAAGTACCTGTTGATGGATTGTACAATTCAGCACTAGTAACAGGACCACTACCACTATATCCACCAACAACTAATACTGATCCATTTGCCAATGTGGATGCTGCGTACCAATCTCGTGTGACATTCATGCTTCCTGTGATTGTCCAAGTGCCTGTTGATGGATTGTACAATTCAGCACTATTAAGAGGAAAAACGCCGTTGAGTCCACCAGTAACTAATACTGATCCATTTGCTAACGTGGTTGCTGTGTGAACAGCACGTGCGATACTCATGCTTCCTGTGATTGTCCAAGTGCCTGTTGATGTATTATACAATTCAGCACTATTGAGATAACCACTACCGTTATACCCACCAGCAACTAATACTGATTTATCTGCTAATGTAGATGCTGTGTGATGAAACCGTCCGATATTCATGTTTCCTGTCGTTGTCCATTCTAGATGAGGCAAAAAAGTGAGAAAAAATGTTGTTTTTAAAATAACTTCGAATCCCTCAAGTGCATAAGATGCCTATCTATCGATGACAGATTAAATGATTTCGAACCTTCAATAAACATCTCTTTATTTTCATGCTTAAAATAAGATTCATTATGAAATGTTAATTCAAATTAATTAAAAAATATTTTATAAACGATTTCACTGATGTTTTTTGAGTTCTATCGATTTCACGAACTGACAAAACTCAAACACTATTCTACAATTCAGTTACGATGAATGATGATCGAATTTTAGAACTTCTGTGAAAGTCATTCTACATTGTTTAATATAGTGGGAACAATATGTACTTTCATCATGTTGGATGGGTGGTTTATGTATGTGTCAGAATGTGAATGTGAGTAAGAGAATATAATTCTTGCATCGGTCTCATCAGAAAGCTAGTACACTACTCAGAAAAAAAGAAAGGAGCTTTCTAGAGCCCCCACAAAAGGTTCTGTGGAAGACCAAAAGCTTCTTTTTATGTCTAAAGTTCCAAAACCACGAACATCAAAATCGACAGAACCCTCAATGGTTCTAAATTGTATCCACGGGTCGAACCCTCTCCTACAGAACCTATTTTTGAGTTCCGTAGAGCAAAAAAAGGTTTTGTAGGAATATTCAGAACCTTCGAGGGTTTATATTAAATCCTACAAAGCCACCATGGTTCTGTATGAAATCCTGATGGTTTTAGACTAAACTACATTAGTTTTGTAGGATTTAATATGAACCCTCGAAGGTTCTGAATATTCCTACAAAACCTTTTTTTGCTCTACGGAACTCAAAAGTAGGTTCTGTAGGAGAGGGTTCGACCCGTGGATACAATTTAGAACCATTGAGGGTTCTGTCGATTTTGATGTTCGTGGTTTTGGAACTTTAGACATAAAAAGAAGCTTTTGGTCTTCCACAGAACCTTTTGTGGGGGCTCTAGAAAGCTCCTTTCTTTTTTTCTGAGTAGGAGTTAATTGATCACGATGAAAGGCGTTTTTTTGAGTTTGAAGTTTGTATTTGATATTACTACGATATTTTTTTGAATTGCTGAAGTCTATACAAATGCTATTTAAATCGTGAGATTATGTGTTGATAGACATGTCTCATATCGATATTATCTCAACTAGCACTTCAACGTGTAGAATTATGCCAATCATCTCGAGAGTGGGTGGACGTGAATGATTACTAAAATGATCATTGAGTTCTGTCGCATGAAAATCATTTTATCAAGAATGTTTTTGTCTTATACTGTTAGACAGAACCAGCATATTCAATATTTGAGTCGGTCTAGACCGAATCAAGTCATTAACAATTGATCTTATTTCGACTTCTGATAGAAAATGTTCTCAAATCTAGTCTATCTGGATGACGATCATTCAATAGCTAAAATCAAATCTTTGAGATATAGTCATTTCTAGTAATCATCGTTTGAGCTACTACAAATCATTTAACATAGTACTGACTTGATATTGATGATGTTGTTGATGGTGATGATGTTGTTGATGTTGTAGGTGTTGATGTCGTAGTCGATTCTATTTTGAAAAAATGATTTTAGAGTGAGACTAAATGATTGGATAAGATTTTTTTTCTTGTTCTGTAATAATATATCAACGTTAGGTATGAGTTGATTGTAATAAAATAGAAAATGTTTAAATCATTTCCATTATAATTATAATTCTATGATATTTACTTTAATTATATTTGTCTTATGATAATTTTGACAACTCAACTTGTATTTCTTAACAAGTTTAATAATAAAACTTTTAGAATTAGAGAGATTGAGTCATATGAGATTTGCATATTGATTCTTTTCTTGAAATCTTTTATTTTTGTTTAACTCTTTCCAGTCGGATGCTGCCAAATGGACACATTGAGATAATATTGTACCGATAACTCTTTCAAACTACTATCGAGTGCCATGCTTATACTACGATATTTAAAGGTACATATCATATAAATTACCCACTTCTCATTCAATATGAATACGTATGACTTTTTGAGAATAGCATAGTATATACTAATTAACATGGAAGGTCAGTATTATCAAAGTGTCGTTTCTCAATGATTTTTGGAAATCGAATATGTTCACTAGTAATTCCAAAAATTTTCTTATTTTATCATTAGCACGAGTTACCACTAATAACAGAATTTTGTTGGTATACAAAATAAAAAAAAGAAAATGTTGCCTTTTGGCAACTCCCGGCTGAGAGGGGTCAAAACTTTTTAAATTTATTACAAAGCTTCAGTGGCATTATTCAATGACTGTGGCATATCATCAATTCTAAATAATAATTAGTAACTGACTTAGCCACTAACTTGAACATTTACAATAAATGAATCTTCCCCATCGATTAAAAACTTATCTAGAGTGGTGGATGTGAGTATCTATCTGAAGATGAGGTTGACACAGTGTATTTGCATGTGCGAATCTATATATAATATTAACATTTTTCTCTAACGGCTAACTTGCTAAACTAAATAAGATGGGGCTTTCATTGGAAAAAATCTTAAGAAATTTTTTCAGATGTGGCTAGCTCGTTGATTAGCAAAACTGAAATTTTTACAATATTTATGATATATTTACTTTGTGCTAAGAATATTGCTGATTGATTCATAAATATCAAAGAAGAATTGACATTAAATTCAATTAAGATCGAAGTAAAATTTGTATAAAATAGTTGACAAGTTTCATTTGCTGAAAAGTAGTTTAATGTTGATATTGTTCCATTTGAATTTATCATTTCTCATATACATTGACCTTGCGTTATATTCCACAATGATTCAGATATATTGCCAATCAATATATTATTATCTATTGTACCAAGAAGAATACAATCACCAGTAGAAAATACTAGTAAAACAAAAAATATCCAAAACATCTTTTGTGACTTGATCTTTTAAACTTTTTTTAGAAATATTTCAGTTAGTGATATTAATGTTTCTCTTTTCTTTTATTTTCCCCTATTCTCTCGTTTAATATTTAATCACTACAAAAAAAAATGCTGTAGATTGTTTGTCAAGTGTCTGGAAATCAAAGCTGCAGCCGTGACTAGTATACATACACAAAACGATGCAATAGCAACAAGGAAAAAATATTTGAGTAAAAGAGAAGAAAGCATTACCTTGATTTTTTCAACCATTTATAGAATTAAAATCGTCACCATCAAATGAAGAGAAAAAACAAGAAACAGCTTCTTTTTTGTATATATGTAATGGCGTTCAGTCATACAGAATAAAGTAACTGGCGATCATATTTCTGGAGGGCATTCTGAACGGTGACGAACAAGCCGTTGCCATATGTTGTTTGATTCAGCATACTGGTTAATGCATTACAAACTAAGATTAATGTGAATAATCTCATTTTTGGATATCAGCACGACTAAATTTTTTCAAATGACAGAAACTGACGTGTAAACCCTTACAAAATTGCTTTTTATCGTTTAATCCCGTACTTTCGTTCATAAGCGTTTGAATGCTGAGAAAGTTAATATGTTCAGTTTTATCTTCAGATTATAAATAACAGATTTTGCACTGGTAATAATCATCGTGTGAAGGCTCTGTAACTGAAACTTTCAATTTTCTTTTTCCTAGATTTTTTCCGTAACTGATGATAAACATTTTACTGTGTAAACGACAAAATAGACAGAAGAATAAATGTTTGCTTTTTATAAGTTTATTCTATAACTGATGATACAAAATTTTACCGTGTGAACGATCAAATAGGATCAATTATTAATGTTGTCTTGTCATAAATTTGTTCTGTAACTGATGATAAAAATTTTTACCTTGTAAACGATGAATTATAAATTTTTTGTTTGTCATAATTTTTTTCCGTAACTAATAGTACAAAATTTTTACCTTGTAAATGATTAAATAGGATGAATTATAAATGTTTTATTTGTCGTAAATTTATTCCGTAACGGATGATACAAAATTTGACTGTGTAGACGATGAAATAGAAAGAATTATGAATGTTTTCATACATGAAATTTTACATTTGAGAATTTAAGAAAAATATTGTCATTTTACACTTGTTATATAATGAGTTCTATTTAAGGAGACCCGTCTAAGCTTATCCAATCATTAATATTCGAGCGTTTTAATGGGTAAGGGAAACTGATATTTTTAACAGTATTAAATGAGCTGTATCATGATTATTTAAGCTCATATAATTTTGAATACCCATCTTTTTTCAATCGTGTAAAGGCGTAAAATACTCATCGTCTCCGCGACTTCACGCTGTATTTTTGGGTGAGTGTGTGTGGCTGGAAGATAGGCACTGCAGTTTAGAGACACCATCACCTTCATACCCACACTCCTACCTACACTCAAGATATTTGGACATATAATTCAGTTATTCATTTCTGATATTCACTTGAGAACGATTACTTCTATGTGCTCATTCGAGTACATATGGTTGGGGGCAACAAATGATTAATATTCTACATATATGTCTTTATATCCACTCTGTTATACAAAAATGATTTGTCTTTTATCAATCATAGCTCTTTTTCAACAACTGCCATATTATATGACTTCGAAATATTACTTCAACTCATATATTATTTGGTGAATGATAGTGTATTGAGAAATGTGAATGATTAAATAGTTTGATTACATATAAAAAAAACTTATGATTCAGTTCACAAAAGCAAATGTCATTCTGTCTATATCGATTAGTAAAGTTCAGCACTATTGAGATAACCATTACTGCCGTATCCACCAGTAACTAATACTGATCCATTTGCTAATGTGGATGCTGTGTGAAATCGCCGTGCGACATTCATGTTTCCTGTAGTTGTCCAAGTGCCTGTCGATGGATTGTACAATTCAGCACTATTCAGACTATTAGTACCGTTGCCCTGTCCACCAGCAACTAATACTAATCCATTTGCTAATGTAAATGCTGTGTGATATTCTCGTGCGGTACTCATGCTTCCGATAGTTGTCCAAGTGCCTGTTAATGGATGGTACAATTCAGCACTATTAAGATAACTACTATTGCTGTATCCACCAGCAACTAATACTGATCCATTTGCTAATGTGGATGCTGTGTAAGATCTTCGTGCGATACTCATGTTTCCTGTAGTTGTCCAAATGCCTGTTAATGGATTGTACAATTCAGTACTATTGAGATAAGCACCGTTGTATCCACCAGCAACTAATACTGATCCATTTGATAATGTGGATGCTGTGTGATATTCTCGTGCGGTACTCATGCTTCCTGTAATTGTCCAAGTGCCTGTTGATGGATGGTATAATTCAGCACTATTGAGATAAGCACCGTTGTATCCACCAGCAACTAATACATATCCATTTGCTAATGTGGATGCTGTGTGATATTCTCGTGCGACACTCATGTTTCCTGTAGTTGTCCAAGTGCCTGTTGATGGATGGTACAATTCAGCACTATTGAGACAACCACTACTGCCGTTTCCACCAGTAACTAATACTGATCCATTTGCTAATACAGATGCTGTGTGATAATATCGTGCGACACTCATGCTTCCTGTGATTATCCAAGTGCCTGTTGATGTATTATACAATTCAGCACTATTAAGATAACTACTACCATTGAATCCACCAGCAACTAATACGGATCCATTTGCTAATGTGGATGCTGTGTGAGCGTATCGTGCGATACTCATGTTCCCGGTCATTGTCCAGTCTAGATAAGATAAAAAAGTGAGTAAAAACTGTTGTTCTTAAAATGACTTTGAATCTCTCATGTGCATAAGTTGTCTATCTACTGATCACAGATTAAATGATTTCAAACCTTCAATAAACTTCTCTTTGTTTTCATGATCAAGATAAGATTCATTATGAAATGTTAAGTCAAATTGATAAAAAACTATGGTAAAAATGGTTTCATTGATATTTTTCAAGTTCTATCGATGTCACGAACTGATGAACCTCAAACACTGTCCTACAACTCAGTTATAATGAATAGTGATCGAAGTTTAGAATTAAAGTGAAAGTCATTCTACATAGTTTAACAAATTGGAAACAGTATATACTTTCACGTTGTTGGATGGGTTATGTATGTATGTATGCGCTAGGATGTGACTGTGACTGTGAGCAAGAGAATATAATTCTCGCATCTTTCTTATGAGAAAATCAAAACACTAAGGGTTAATTGATGGTGACAAAAGACGATTTTTTCGAGTTTGAAGTTTGCTTGTTATATTCTTGCGATATTTTTTTTGAATTACTCAACTCTATGCAAATGCGACCTAAAGTATGAGATTAGATGTTGATAGACATGTCTCATGTCAATATTCTGTCAACTAGTACTTCAACGTGTAGAATTACTCGAATCATTTTGAGAGTGGGTTGCTATAAGTGATAATTAAAATGATCGATGAGTTCTATCGCATGAAAATCTTTTTATCAACAATTTTTTCGTCTGATACTATTGGACAAGACACGGATATTCAATACTTAAATGAGTGTAGATGAAATCTAGTTATCTAACATTGGCCTTGTTTCGACTTCTGATATGAAATGTTCACTAATGTTGTCTATCTAGATGGCAATCATTCAATAGCTAAAATCAAAACTTTTAGATATCCTCATTTCTATCAACCATCTTTTGAGTTACTATGAATGTTTTAATGTAGTACTCACGCTGTATTGCTGTTGTGGATGTTGATGAAGTTGTTGATGATGTTGTTGCTGATGATGATGTTGTTGCTGATGATGATGTTG